GGGGTAGCTCTTGCCCCACACGAGGCATGTGGGGTAATTCAAGAGCCGAATCGGTATTTCGCTGTAGGCTTGGTGGGAAAGACGAGCGTGTCTATAAACTCAGAGGTTTGATCGCTGACGGAAGTTGAGGACGGTTTGTGATACTTCGCGAAACTGACGCGTGGTGACGTCTTCGGGTGTTCCAAATTAGGCATAGTGCTGCCGCCGCCACACATGGCAGACATTGCGTCGCTGGTCGCACAATCACCCATGCTCCATCAACCGCGATACGCGACGACCATACGAAGACAGTATCCGATGCTGGCGGCCTGAAGCCACACACACTCAGTTCATAGGACCTGTGGCACGGACAGCGGTGTGCCGCACTCAAAGGGTACAGAGACCTCGACCATCAACGGTCGTCATCCACTACCACTTCATCTACGGGTCTTAACAAAAACAACATCTGGAGCAAGAAGAAATGATCCAAAGCGGCACAGCATATTGAACAATGCAAGACATCGCGTTAACAAAATGGCCTCAAAACCACTCAAACCGCCACAACAGGGGTTTAAATTAAACGCCCTTTGTTTCAAAAGCTTGAGGCGCGGCTCAAGTCATGAATACATGACTCAGCCATTGTCCACCAATTTGCATACTTCAATCGAGAGACACGCTAGAATCGATCATTGTCACGATTGGATGGCAGTAGAGCGCCTGATGGCAGCTGATACTCCTTTCATATTGGCATGGCCTCAGCCTTTGTCGCAAACTGACCAACGTAGGTATCCCTATGGGTATTCAGTTGAATCCTTCGGTTCAGGATGGATGTGCGATTGAGTCCAGTATGCGCTTGCTATAAGTAAAGGAAGCAATGTATGCAGTGTAAGTAACTCTTGACGAGTAGCTTTCTCAGTCTTTCCTGCGACTACAATGCAGCACACAACTCCATGGAAGAGACGAAGTCTCATTTCCCTCATTTCTATATTGGGTTTCCTGACATGCCCAGCCTTCGGAGAACCAGTCTGCGAAGCTTCTTCCTTCCAGAATCTGGAGCTGCCAGGCGGCGAAATTCTCGACATTGCTACAAAAACACACGCGAACTTATCATTCCAAGCTCCCGCGGAGCAAAACCATTACGCCACTGCCGTGACCGATCTGAACGCTTGTGAAGTGATCATCACATACACGCATCCCGGCTTCAATGACACTATCCACACGGTCGTTTGGCTACCCTCGCCTGGGAAGTGGACAGGAAGACTCTTGGGCGCCGGTGGTGGGGGATGGGCTGCGGGACCAGAAACCAACACCACACTCCCATGGGCGGCCAGCGAGGGTTTCGTTACCGTCGCGACAGACGGAGGTCACGTCGGGCAGGATATCAGCTGGTCGCTCACTAACTCTGGCAAGGTCGACGAGGTATTGCTAGAAGACCTTGCCTCGATCTCTCTAGATGATGCCGCGACGCTGGGAAAGGCGGTCACTCATTCTTACTATGGCAAAGCACCGAGCTACAGCTATTGGAATGGATGTTCGCAGGGCGGAAGACAAGGTTACATGATGGCGCAGAAGTACCCCAATCAATATGATGGTATCTTGGCGGCTGCACCAGCTATCTACTGGAACGAGTTGATGATGCAACTTTTCTGGCCGCAGGTTGTTATGAACGAGAATGGTCAGTACTCAAACGAAGGCTAGATATGCATGACTAACACACATCAGGATTTCCGACTCCGCAGGAATTTGAAGCTATCAACGTTGCTGTTGCCGAAGCCTGTGATGGTCTCGATGGTTTGGAGGACGGCATCATATTGGCACCTCAAGACTGCACCTTTGACCCAATGACCGTCGTTGGCAAACAATACATTTGTCCCTCCACCAACCAGAGCATGACCATCACGAATACCCTAGCCAAGGTAGCGAAGTTGATATGGCAAGGCGCAACAACTCCCGAAGGCGAGTTTCTCTGGTACCCCGGCAACATCGGGGCTTCATTCGTTGGCCTCGCATCAACAACATGCAGTAAGAACGATACATGCGTCGGCGTACCGTTTGCCGTACCTCAAACCTGGATCACCGACTTTGTCATCCGCGACCGCCAGTACGATACCGCACGAATGAACACCACGTATTTTGAGCAGCTTTTCCATGATGCTGTAGCCCGCTACGACTCTGTTATTGGAACCGCAAATACAGATCTCGACGGATTTCAGAAAGCGGGTGGCAAGCTCCTTTCGTGGCATGGGTTGGCCGATATGGCTATCGCGCCTAATGCGACTGCGCACTATGCGCAGCAGGTGCATGAGCGTGACCCGAATTCTAGTGACTACTATCGCTACTTTGAGGCGCCTGGCGTGGATCACTGCGGCGGTGGGCTAGGCTGGTATCCTGGCGATGGTCTTAAAAGCCTCATCGATTGGGTAGAGAAGGGCGCGGCGCCTGAGACGTTGGAGGCGGAGAGTACGGAGGGTAGGAAGGCGCAGCTTTGCTTATGGCCCAAGCATATGGTATATGTTGGAGGAAATCCTGACGAGGCTGCCTCATTCGAGTGTCGATGAGCTAGATTTGTGGTCGCTACCAATGCTGGACTATCATTCGCATGTTCGTAAATATGCTTGTCAGATCGCTTTCAATACAATTCCAATATACCCAAAGTAATGTAAGCTTGAGCTGACGGTGGGTGGACCAATCGGGCTTTCGTCTGACTGACCTCAGTGGGCGTAGCGTGGGGGCTGGATACTGGAACTGGTGTTCTGCGCCTCGAACTATCTAAAGCCTCGTCGAAACTTTTGCATTTGACAACACAAATCGATGGTATCTCCATTCTTGACTTCTATTTTTTCTTGTATCTGCAACTCATACAACCGCGGGTAATCTTCCCATTCGGCATTGACAGCACTTGGCTAACAAGAAGGCTTTCAGACATGCCACGAGATTAAGCTAGGCTACAACGATGGCAGAAGTCTGCGCAATCCTCGGCGGAGTGGGTTCGATATTCAGTATCGTGAATGGTATCAGTAAAGTCGTCGGTACCATCGGTGACCTTCAAACGAAGTGGGGCGAGGCTGATCTTACTTTGTTGAGTCTGGCGTCCCAGCTCATTGCTCTACGGGCTGCTTCTACAAAGATACAAGAGTGGATAGATCAAGATCTCCAAGACACCCACCACCAACTAGTCATGGACCTGGACGTGTCCGTCTCCTGTTGCAAGTTATTGATGACCGAGATCGAGAGCTTCTTTTCCGACCTTGCGCAACTAACGGAGAAACCACTCGATCTTCGCGACAAGTTCAAAGTTGTTTTCGGAAGTTACGGACCGGAGAGTGTACAGAAGCTTATCGAGCACCAGACGAGCTCACTGACTCTTTTGTTGACAGCTTGTAACTGGTAAGTATCACGCCGCACAGCAGCATGACAATGTTGACCAACATGTTTAGCAAAACTCTCTCTGAGCAGCAACGTATTCTCGGTACAAACAAGACTAGGAAAGTCTTGGATCGAGCAAAAGCAGACTCGTTATCTCTATATGTTCATCGTGACTCTGCATCTCTCACCAGCAAGATGACCGACAACATGTCAAAGATATCGCGTGTCTTCGAATTCGACTCAAACATCTTCTCTACGGGAGTATACGAACGGGCATTTCGGGGGTCGGTCAGAGATCTACTACGGCGACGACAGCAAACCCTCAGAGCTCACCCGATAGCTTCGTCGGCAGTAGAATCTACACCAACGCCCGGGAGCTTGCAGAGTATCTGCTTTCTAGGACCTGACCAAATTGGCATGGATTTGTTGATTGACACCATTCAAACTGATCAACATCACCTTCACGACGAGTGGGCCTTACACCAGTGGGAGCTACGAAAGCTCTTCCTGAGCCTTGTAATCACTATCGTCAGGACTCGTTCAGACCACTGCGATGAAGAAGACGCCGGAATTGTCATGCGATTCATGCGAACTGAAGAGTACCTAGAGCGATACTCTGAGCTGCACTCGGTATCTCATAAGGCGCTAGGAGCTTGTACGCGGATTTGGAATGATGCAGTACAATTAGCTCAAGACCCGCACATCCGTAGCGCTCCTAGAGAGAGGGTCGAGTTCGGCAAGATGGTCTTTTGGGTCCAGATCATACCTGATCGAGGGTTGAGCGTTATTAGTGGCAACTATGCAGCTAGGTCGTACGTGATATTGTACGCGCATGTGCGAGCCCTCGGCTGATTACTCTTTAGCTTCGTTCACCGCATAGAAAGTGTTCTGCCCGTAAGCTCTTCCAATCCGTTTCAAGGTACGGCCCGGCTTGCAGATCTTCTGAGAGGGGCAAGAATGGCATTCGAGGACGTTGCTTTTCAGCTTCCAATCGGCTATTCTAGTTCAGTGAGAATAGTCGATCCGAACACACTCCGCCCGGGAGATGGAACTGCATATGTTTTCTTCGTGGACCTTCAAGACTACAACCTCGGCTTCGAGCTTGAGAAAAGGGCCGCCGAACGTGTGCTCGCGTCGGCGAGCTTGCTCACAGCTCATCAGCAGCCGGTAATCGGTCTTGTTTTGAGACATTCTGGAAGGGCTATACAGCAGATGGTGACTTCAGACTCCTTGGCCCAAGTCGGAAGAACGACAAACGGTGCTGCTAAAGCAATATCGCATATCACAATGGTCTTCAAAAGTCATCTCAGAATGGAAAATTGGGACTTTTCGTTCATTTTCAACGAAACTGAAGACGTGCATTCGGCCGAGACACTTGCTCGTCTGGAGAGTATCATAAGCGGCATCACAGTGCGTACAAAACCCTTTCACGCATAGTGAACTGGTTATTCACATAGAGCCATCGGATAAATGCGTTGAGCAAATCTGCTATTTCCAATTCTTGACTGTATAGACATGATCACGCAGGGCAGAAATGCCTTGTCGTCAATGGTTCTGAGGTCCCATCGATCTATTCCAGGTGATGTGTTATGATGGTACAATACACCTGCGCATGTTCCGCGATACGGCCCGAGTCAGTCGTAGCATACAACTGTCTAGGTATTGAGTTTAGCTGCATCATCAGCCTTGTCTTGTACAGGGCAATCATTGTCAACCTCTGTTTGCACCTTTGCGTCTTCTTCCTCCACCGGTCTTAGTCCCGCAACAAAGTCACCAAATGAGTCTGGTAATACGATCCATTGAAGACTCTCGGAAGTGTTGTTCATGTCGGAGACCAATCTGCTCGCTTTTCCCTCTTCAACAATCGCCCAGACAATGGAAGTTGACATGTCGGCTGCACTGTGTAGCAAAGGATTTGGTAGACGAAGTTCTCTGCACAAGAGGTATTAGCTTTAGTGAAAGAGTCGGCACTTTGCTGAGGTTGGGCTTACTTGACAATTTCGTTGAAGATATCTGTACAGCCTTTAGTGCCATCAAACACTGCATCACCACGTCCGCGTGTTACGCATTTGTCCAGATAATTCGTCATTATCTCTGCAGCCTCTTGAATAGAAAGGCCATGAACTGCGACTATATTCTGGTCGATGAAGACAGCAGCTGTCTTCTTGTGGTGGGTCCTTTCATGAAACAAAAGGTTCATAGGTATGGCTCCGTTGTCGTCCCAATCCAGCCATAATGTTGATTGCATGTTTGGGTTAGTCATTGTGAAATACAAGGCGGTAAATATTTGCGTATTGATCGCGCTGCAGTGGCGTTGCAGCTTTTCTTGTGGGAAAAGAAATGCTGGTAACTCAGACTGAAGAAGTACACGGAACACGACAAGTGGTCCAGCTGACCAAATCTTCTTGAAGTCTTCTGGGTCCGATGTTTTCTGAGTATGCACCTTCAACTCCTTCATCAGAAAATCCAAGATGGCTTGGTTTGTAATATTGAGGAAGGTTGTGCTGCTGGGCCCGCCGTTGGAGAATAGCAGGTCAATAAGGGGGGTATTGTTGGGGCTTATCTGGCCACCTACGTGGACGGTATGTGCCTTCTTGAACCGACCATTGGTACGCGCAAGATCACTCGCTTTCATCCCGTGTGCGCGAAGCAGGCGTTGAATACACAAGTCGAGTGTTGCCGGTCTGCTACCCCTGAAGACGCTTGACTCGCCGAGCAGTGCGATTACGGTCTCCATGTCCTCCCACGTGTTTGCAAGTAACTTGTCTGCTGACTCAGCCCGGTTCGCACTGTGTGCTTGACGAAGAAAGTTGTAAAGATGCGCATATCCCAGTGTAAGTCCATCAGCGTTCTGTACAAGAAGCACCACCTCTCTCACGGCATGTAGTGCCACAAACAAGATTGTTCCAGCGAGGAATGGATTCATCCTGATCCAGTCGCCCTTATAGCGATCATAGAGTTCGTCTGGCTGGTAGTTTTCATCGAGACCTTTCGCTTTCCGCTCATGCTTCACGCGTGCTACCCAGATTGGATGATTACTCATCCAGACGAGGCTATCCCCCATTGTCAGGGGATCGCGGAAGAAGGATTTTAACTTTGATCGTTCCTTGTTGTCCAGAAAAAGCGCCGAACCCTTCACCACTTCGTGTATATACCCATGGCCAGAAGCGTGTGCCCATGTCTCAACATAATCAGCAAAGACTGACGCAACCTTTTTACGGTTGTCTTTACGATCATGTGATGGCTCGCTGGAGTCCCGGCAATCGTCTGTAATCTGTGGATCCCGATTATGGTCGCCTTCGCTACCATCTAATGGCTTGTCAGACCTCTGTTGATCATCCACGGCCTGTGGATTCCGTTCATGATCGCCTCTGCCATCTGATGGCTTGTCAGATTCCTGGTCATCATCTACAACTTGTAGTGTCCGTTCATAGTCATTGCGACCATCTGAGCGCTTGTTGAGTGGAACGAGAGGAACCAGACAATCCTGAACTCCTATGTACAGATCGGTGTACAACATCATTTCGATGGAGATGTTTGTTCCATACTGGTAGTCCTCCTTAGGTTCGAGATCGTCGTCGAAGCCTCGTTTCAAGTATCCATACCATTCCTGCGTAAAGTTATCCATGACAGGAGGTCGTTCCCGCACGTCTTTGACCATATAAAGAATGTCATCCATAGCGTACAAAAGAGATTGGTTCCTTAATGGAACATCTCTGCGACCATCAGAGCCACGTCGCTCCAAAAGAGACATGGCGGTAGGATACGCTTCAAGAAATTCCCAAACGCAGTTGTATGTGTGCAGACATCCATAGGTGAGCAGGCTATCCGAGGGTTTTACTACGCAGGACTGCGATCCTCCCATCATTGCACGAACTTTCGCTCGCACCTCGTCTGTTTGCCTCCTGAGCAATTTGCTGATCTCGGGACGATCAAGTAGCTTATGCCAGAAGCCCTCAGCGTCCTCTATCTCCGGGAACGAGGCCAAGAATTCGTGCACTAAGCTCTTTATCATCTGCATCGCTGCTTGTGTCGTTGCGGCTGCTGAGACAAAATCCACACCATCCTTACAATGGTAAAGAAACCAGATTCCTTTGACGGCACCCTTGATCTCATTGTAATCTTGTAACAACATGTTCATGGCAATCATGCGATCATCCTCTCTGTTGTCGACAGTATAATTCGTCTTTGAGGTTGTTGCTGGTCTAGCATCAAATGTCGACTGGTCACCGCTTCCCGGCTCCTGGTCTGCCAGCTCTCCAATATCAAGCTTGCTGAATCTAGTGTTTAGGCCATCGATCGGGGTCTGCGTAGCGTGGTCGCTGGGCTTAGGCGTCGCTTTGCCAGTAGTGATGAACGGCTTTAGCAAATTAAGTGTGTACTCCAAAGTTCCCGTGAAAGTAGCGTGTGCTTCGTTGCTCGCAGTGAATGTATGCTGTAAATTTGGATCTACATGTTCAGTCTGATTTTCGTGCCATTTCGTCGACTTGGTGCGCTGACGGATTGCTCGAGCTGCTGCTCTGCTGGCGTAGAGTGGCACCACGAACTTCTTGGGAGGTTTCTTTGCTATGGCATCGGCGCACGTTTTCAAATCATTGATGGTGACCTTGCGCGCTTGCGGGGATTTGGGTTCAGCCGTTCGCGCTTTCCCCTTGAGTCGGCCACCAGAAGCAGAAGTTTGCGCAGTGGCAGAAGGGACGAAGCCACAACGACTAGCCGTCTCGACAAGCCATGTAACAAAGATCTCGGTGTCGGCTTTATACTCTCGGTAGCTGTTGGCGATGTTATCCGGAAGCATTTTCGACGTGTCTGTCGGTGGATTGACGCAGTGCAATGTCACGACTCGCACCACACAGGTGTCTTATCGTTATCGTCACGTGCGCTAACGCCGCGCTACCCGTCAACCCCCTGCAAACATCGTCATAACTCCTCCCATGATCTTCGATCCGACATTCAGCCACATCACACAACTGCTATGACAACCTTTCTGTTACTTCCCAACGAGCTCACACAGCATATCGCATCTTTTCTTCCCTGCTCCTCAGCCCTCAATCTTTCAAGAACCAACCGACAATTGCGAACGATCTGCAATGACAAAATAGTATTCCGCAACATTGCAAAGTACAATTTAGGACAGCCCCTGCTCTCCAAAAATGGCATAGAACTATCGAAAACCCATTGGGCGGAAGCCGACTCCGTCTTAGCCAAAACGTCTCTCCAAGAAACGATCCGCATAGCATACGCAGCCGAGAGATGCATCGAAGCTCTGCTCGAGAACGGCGACACATGGACTTTACGCAAAGCCAAAGGAATCAATTCATATGAACTGAGTAGATGGCTACCCCATATCATGGCTCTGCACCACCCTATAGCTGCACAGCTTAAGCCCGAGACTTTCCTGGAGCTTCAAGGCCGCTTACAGGTTCACTTCCAATCAGATGAATTCTCACCCAATCTCCTCGATGTCAACTTCATCCTCAGCTACACTATCTTGAAGCAATTGCAAATTACGGGAAACGGGAAGCAAGTCAAGGCACCCTTTGACCGCTTCTTCTCCGTGAACCACATAAAGGATCCACCAATAGTGGCAAGTAACGGCGTGAGATTGGATGGAGATTCGATCAAGAGCCTTCGGCAGCGAGTGCGAGACTATGGTGCCTTCCGCAAGAGACATATGGATGGATTCGGATTGGATCAAGCTACGACTCTGCTCCCCACTTTCATTCTGGAACTGGCTGTACATGGTTCAAATCCATTGCACGATAACGCACTCCCGTCACCTACCAAAATACCCTTTAACTCATTCATGGACTTCTTGCCGACTATCTTCGCCAAGAATCCGGCACCTACTTACGAATACGACAACGAATATGACGACGTACCGTTTGGCGAGTGCCATACTCAAATGCTCTCACCTGACTTCCTTTCCTCCGGGCGATGGACGGGTTACTACTCGGACCAGCGAAGGGCATTGGGAAGAAGACGCTTCGATCCACGTATGCACAGCATCCAACTTGTTGCACGGGACACCGATACACCAAAGTGGGATGTCGGCGGCTACACCACATATACGATTATCGATTCGGAGAGCCGAGGGACTGATTCTGTCGGAGATTTCTCCCTGGAAGGCCGCGTGCGACACAACGATGGAGATATTTCCTTGACGAAACGATATCTTTCAAAAGACCTGTCATGTGAGTGGGAAGCTCGAATGACACCGTTTGGTATGGTGGGTGCATGGGGCACTGGAAGAGGTCTTGATACGAGATTTGGGGGATATTTTTGGATCTGGAAGGAGGAATGGCAAGAATTGTAATATGCATGTCAGTCCACAGCAGATACAGGAACTTCTCAGCCAAACACGCACATCATGCAAACCCACACCACGAGCAGCGAAACAGCTTCGACGATATCGTTCCATTGATCAGAAAAAGTACCCTGATCTCCCAGGACGCTACGACACATTCACGTGTCTATCAGACCTCCATAATAAGGCATGACACTGTACCGCATCGCTCCTAGTATACCACGTGAACATCATCACCTCTACCCCAGACATCCATACCCATGCATACCCTCCCTCCCCATAAATCCATGAAACACACCATCAAAAACGCCAATGTCATCCTCACAATACCACCTCACCACTCCTCGCCCATCTACGACATATCCATAGCCTCGCCCGCCCCCGCCCCAGCCTCAGCCGCGGCCCTACTCCGCTCCGCCATCTTCTCCGCCAACAGATTAGCCTTCCAACTCTGAATCTCCTCCCTGAGCTCATCATTCGGAACAACATCCTCAATCTTAAGCGACGTGCGATTAAAGGGATCATGCGGATCGCTCAGCAGATGCGCCTGAATGGTACCCCTATCGACAATCTGTTTGCTGACAGGAAGCGTGACGGGGTCTTCCATGAGCGACGCCAAAATAGGATCGAGGTACTGATCTGGAATCTCTCCGAGATCAGCTTCGACCATGTCCGCTTGCTCTTTAGCAGTTTTGATACGCTCAGACATGTTTTCCCATTGTGTCATTTGCTCGGGGGTCTTCAGTTTGAAGCGTTGGAGGATCTTGTAGGCTTCGTCCATGTATTCGGGCCGGTAGGAGCGGCCGTCTGTGGCGACGGCGTCGATGAAGGATTGCTTGGATTCGAGGTTGAGGTAGACGTCTGTGACTTCTGCGAGCATGTTGCGTGGGTTCCAGCCGTATTCCTCTGGGTTTTCGACCTTGAGTTGGGATTTCTTGGGGCCGACGAGGGCTTCGAGGTTGTAGTCTAGCATGTGGGCGAGGCGCACGACGACTTCCTTCTTGGTGAAGGAGTCGGCGAGGGCTTCGGTGAAGAGCTTCAACATGGCGACGGTTTCGTTGGTGAGTTGCATGTAGCTCTTGGCCTTGCCCTGGGCTGACGACAGCTTTTCTTCCCTCTCTTGACGCTCCGTCTGCTCCATGTTTGCTGGGGCATTCTTGAGCTCTCGTGATAGATCGTGGATCTCCTTGAAAGCGGTGAATGACTCATCCAGGACGAATGTTACATCGTTGAGGAGCAGGTTGACGAATTGAACGAAGAAGTCCAAGTTGACGCGCGCTTCAGTCGCAAGATGCTCGCGGTACACTGGGTTCGGCCAGATGCACTTGATGACCTGGAAGATCTCGTATCGAATGTTGAACTTGTCAAAGAACTGCGTATGTGTTCCGGTGCTCTCACATTCGATGTAGAACTTCATCAGTGCGTGGAGTAAGTGCTTCATGGCGAAGTCGTGTGCAAATAGCGTGTCGCCAAGCACGCCCTTTGGCTTACCGTGAATCTCCCATACTCCGTGGAACAGAATGGTGACAAGACCAGACTTTAAGTATGGGTTCTTGATGTACTCTGAGCTTCTCAGGAAGGTAATGCAGATCTTGACAATTTCCTCGCACTGAGTGGTTGTGATAATATGCGGCATGTAGCGAGTGATGAACTTGAAGTTTCCAACAATATCTTCAACGAAATATTCAGGTAGACACCTAAACTGCAGTGGTTGCTCTTCGGGTAGAGGCAGTTGCAGCTCTGACTTGGGGAAGTTGGTACCGGGCGAAGCAAGTCGTAGCAGCCACACGATGACGTATCGCATCAATTGCATAGACCGAGCTTGTGTAGTCTCATCAAGCAAGACACCTTGAATGGCCAAGATGCTACACTTGGCCTTCTCGATCTGGTCTTTCATCTTCTTGATGTGGTTGTCGAAGACGGCCAGTTGCGCCTGACTAGTCATGTACTTGGGTCGCTCGGGCTCGAGCTTAGCAAGCTCCTTCTCAAGGTACTTTACGTCCTTTTGAAGCGTACCCAACTTGGTATTGGCTGCCTCCAGACCATAGTGATGAGCGGCCACCGTCAAGAAGAAGACCTCGCTGATGAAGTTGTTGGTACCTGAGGCTTTGGTACTGTAAAACTCATCCGATGCATTCTGGTCGGCATTAATCTTTGTTTCATCTTGGATATCAACGCGGGGTGATCGGCGAAGGTAGTCAATGTCGATGCGATCGATCTTGGAAAAGGTAGCGTCCATGAAAGGCTCACAGAGACGATCTAAAATCACTGTGACATTGACCATGAAGCCGTCTGATGATACTGTTTTCCTGTCCACTTGTATCGCACGCCTCTTGTGGTTCTTGTTGACTGTAAGCGCTAACCAGTCCAACATCTTCTCGCGAGATTCCTTGTTCTTGATGAAAGTGTTCGTAATGTCCAGCAATTCTTCTTGGTGGGTTTGAAGTGTCATGCGGACAGCTCGTTGCGCGTTGACGATAAGTCCCTTGTCGACAGCCGCGGAGCCAGAGAAGTAGTTCATGGCTACGTCAGCCTGCATAGGAGATAGACGGAAGAATGGCCCTAAGAAACTATGAGTTTCGATATGTTGAGCCTCGATGTTAGCAGGCAGAAACGTCTCAGACTGTGCCATGGCGGCTACGAGCGGCGGAAATCGGACGAATACCCGCAGGATCAACATGTGCGCCTTGTAGTCTCCATTCATAGAGACCTTGGAGAGGCGCCGGCTGACATCCACCATAGCTTCCACAAGTGTGTCCTTGATGATATCGTCTTCGCCTATCCGCTGGCTCGCTTCAGTGAGGAACTCGTAGCAGATGCCGCGCTCGTCGTCAGGTCCGAGAAGTAAGCGATCAGCCAGTGCGTTCTCCGCGGGTGGCTCTTCCTGGAACATTTCTGGCATGCTAGCCGCGAAGATGCAATAGCTGAAGCACACTCGCCGGGCCTCTTTGACAACTTCGAACCGTGGACCAGTCTTATTCGCGAGGTTCTTGAGCGCTTTGGAAACGCGTTTCCAGCAACTCATCGTATATTCCAACGCATAGCCCTGGTGCTTTTCTGACGCTGCTTCCATTATGACGGAATCAAGTTGATCTGTAGTCAAGCGGATTGGCCTGCCCTGTTCCTCAAGATCGCGTCTGGCGCTTTCGGCAAAGTGTAGCTTATGTCCGTGTGCATCGTGCGTATGGCTCTCGTCCAGAGTGACCCTAAAGATGCTGCTGATTGTCCGATCCTCCCACGCTTCTATGCTCAATTCCGGCGCCTTCTGAGCGGGCTGCGGTGTGGGGCCATTGCTCGACGACTGTGCGGGTTTGATCGTGATGCGCTTTTTGGGCGGCTCGTCGGTGTTGACGCCTAATTGGGAGAAGGGATTCGCGGTCGGAGTGGGCTTCGGTGGTGGCGCCGGTGATTCAGCGGGCTTTGGGGATGAAGTGCCCGATGATGCGGCTTCGGGCGCGGTCGAGGGCGGCCGTGAAGGACCATTTGGAGTCGCAGGGCCGCCCAGCTTTGCAAGGCGCTTTGCACGGATCTGGAAGATATCCTCGTCAGCGTGTCTCTTTGACAGGCGGTCGGAAGGTGAGCTCACCTTGTCGGCGTCAGACATGGCGTCCGGCGCAGCAGCGGGTGCAGGTGCAGGTGCAGGTGCAGCATCAGGCATTGCGCTGTCTTGCTGCTCAGATGTCGCGTTGTCTGGTTGGTCGGACATGGCCTTGTCTTGGTGCTCTGGTTGCTCGGGCGGTTGGTCGGCCATGATGGCGATGTACTGGCTTCAGGCTGCAGCGAACTTCGGTGATGGGCGGCTGAGGGAGAAGTGCGGGCAGTAGAGAGGCGGTGGGGTAGATTAACGTATAAAGAGAAAGAAAGAAATAGGCCGTGGCCGTTTTGGTACAAGGACGTGGAGTGAAAGAGGCGCGAACCGTGGAGCAGTACTGCGTCAGTGCCTGTGGTTAGGTACGGGTCCCGGAGCTTCTAGTCTGCCCCGCCACTCTAGCCTGCACCCTCGCTCGCCAACTCACGTGTACCAAAGAAGCTCGACGAAGCGCGACGAAGTAGTGCATAGTCATGGACTGTATTTCCGTCCTTATCTCCGGCTTATCCAGATCTGACAGATAGCTCCAGATATGGTCGCTGCCTTGAGCCCTGCCCAACGCGGTAGCGACCATTACCACCAATTTGGTTCACATCACCACTCACTTCTCACACCTCCCTGCCATCATGAACCTCAGATTCATAATTCCCAATGCACGACATTAGATCTTGTTAAGTATCCATTCTCTAAGATCATGTATGCCTACCTTGGAATACTCTTTGTAGAATGCGACCCGGAACATGGCCACCCTTGGTGTTATATCCAAAAGGAAATTCAGAAACTATGACTTACCAGTTGGCCTGCGTAGTACTATTACCTCTCTATGATCACTCCTGGCCGAGCCGAACATTGGCATGTCTGTGTTGGAAGGCCCTGAGATGGACAAACGATCTCTACAGCTGACAAAGCAGCCAATGCGACATACTTACCTACACACATAGCTTAAAAGCAACTCCAATCTGTCATGTAATCCTCGGCCGTGTCTTCCGTATCCGCTTGTTTCCATACATCTTCTTCACCTGCGACGCCGTTTTCATCAACGTGCCAATTTCCCTTCTCAACCAGTTCACACCAGTTGGCTAGGACAGCGGCCAACGGTGTGCCATGTGTGGGTAGAAATGGGGTACACGCCCCATGCCGATACAAAGCATCTTGACCTTGGTCGCTCGGCTTCACGATAGTTCCATTGTTCTTGCGCACGTGGCCATTAGCTCCGATGGGGAAAGGCAGGAGTAGAGAAATTGAGTGTGTGTGCGTGCCATCGGGGGTCAGATACAGACCGGCGCGGTTATCAAGGGTGTGGGCATGTCCCCGTCTATCCTTCCACCGGTCACGATCAGACTCGAGAACGAGTTGGAGGCCTTGTGTCCGCCACGGGAACAAGAGAAATTTGGGTATATAGCTCATTTCATAGTCCGGAGTGGTGATGGAAGCGTCGGGGTGTAGCTCCTGTAATTTGGCACCTACACGGTGAACGAAGGCTTCGGTCGGAATGTCCAGTTGCGGAGCGATGGAAGTAAAGGTCGGCTTCTTCGCCCGAGAAAGGAATGCGCGTGCGAAAGACGGGATAGCCGGATATTTCTCCAAGATCTCAGATGATACCAAAACAGCGTCCACTTTTTCTTGCTTCTCCTCCTGGTGTGCTCCCGGGTCGTCATCTTTCCCTTGTCCCGGTAGGCGTTTAGTGATCGCGTCCACCAAACTATGCCACGCCTCCAGCGCGCCCTCCAGCTCAAGGCCAGTCCACTCGAGTATCCTCCATCCCTGCGTAGTAAGTTCATCTCCCAGGTATTCTGCATCGATGACGAATTTCCCCGACTCAACGCAGTCCCAGTAAATTTCCAGCGCATTCTGAAGATCGTCCCAATAGAGGTCTTCAGGTTCGGAATACGGAGAGGCCATGTAGCCCACTTGCTGCGTCGATAGGCTGTACAAAAGACCCCCTGCATCATATGCAGGTCCTGTGTAAAGCAGGATGTAATCCTCGCGTTCCTCGATGATGCCAAGCCACATATCGGGGATCATATGGTTAGGCGAAGGGACACCGACGAGCAAGGGATTAAAGGCCAGATGTTGATGTTGTTCGGGCACGACGATGTCGATGCCTGATAGGAAGGCTGTGAGGTCATCGTCGAATTCTTCCTCGATATCTAGGGGCAAGGGAACGGGTGAGGAAGGATCTAGTGAGTGCGCGCTGAACCAGCTGCGTTGAATCTGAGGTTGGCGGTCGGGTGGAAGGTGCGAGCAAGCGTGGGCGACGATGCGGTTGTGTAGATCTATGCACTTGTCAACCTCAAAGCCCATGGTGAACGTCGAGTCGCAAAGGTGTGTTGTGGGCGGGGGTTGTTGGTGTACACGTGTTGGTGAGTTGAGGTAGCCGGAAGGCACGGTTAAGAAGCGCCCCATTCAAGGGAAGAACTGACTCGACACCCACCTAAAGCTGTTAATCTAGAGGTATACATTGCGTTCGGGTCTTGGAAACATCCTGTTCTTCACCAATATAGTCTGCAGCGCGCCTGTCTAGTGTCTTCCTTGTGTGAGGTGGACGGGCCTTAAACATATTGAGGAACACAGAAACAGCAGGAGCAGGAACAAGAACAAGATGATGGCCTAGAACGCAGACGAAGAAGGCGTATGGATCCACGCACTAGGTCGACCCTGCCGTTCGACAGTGGTTCCTGCCTGTGGGAGACTGGTCGCGCTTGCCAGAGCACGCGCACGCAGAACAAGCTGGGGAAAGGGCAGGCGAGCTGTCAGGTCCAATCTGAAACCCTTGTCACGACCAAGACCTTGCCGGGGCAACCAGCAACACACGACGGTAACAACTGGTGCAAGGCGATTGCAGTCAAAGAACAGCCGTCTTGTGCATGAGAACAGGGCCCTCGTGTTATTGGCCGTGCTGGACATGTCAAACCGCACCGGGGGACAAGCTGCTGCCATGTGACGGCTCCGGGGCGTGTGCATGGGTAGTTTACCTTGTCGGTTAGGGCAAGGCGCTTGATGCAGATAGCTAATCGCCTTCTCCTCTTCTCTCGGCCAACCTACAGTACACGCCATCGCGACGACGCTTCACAAACCTTCTACGTGATAATCAAGTGAGCAGCTGTCCAGGTACGTCACGCTCGCTCTCATTTCGCTCCCGCTAGGCCGCAATCGCCGAAGCGCTGCGTGGCGCAAGCAGCACTCAGCCGCAGTTGTTGCAGCACGACCCCCGTTGCGGCCATGGTGCCTAGAGCCATAACACCCTGAAGCCGCTGTTCTCCAACTTCAATCACCGCCAGTCCAGCTCTCCATCCACATACTCACCACCTCCCTCACAGATCTTGCTGCCCCCACCGCCGCCTCAATAACCCATCCCCCACGACACCATGGCCGAGATTCGACGAAAGCTCGTTATTGTCGGTGACGGCGCCTGTGGAAAGACCTGTCTGCTCATGTACGTCCTCGCCCTCGCCATCACTCTTAACACTACTGCAAAACAGCTGCTAACGGTGCCGTCTGCAGCGTCTTCTCCAAGGGCACCTTCCCCGAGGTCAGTACTCGCCGCCCGCCTCGCCTGCATCCCTGAGCCGCGTCAGCCTAGCTGTTCCGCCTGCACTCGCAGCCATCGCAGCCTGCACTCCCTCGCAACGCACCCACTAACGTGCCCGCCTGCAGGTCTACGTCCCCACCGTTTTCGAGAACTACGTCGCCGATGTCGAGGTCGACGGCAAGCACGTCGAGCTCGCCCTCTGGGATACCGCCGGCCAGGAAGATTACGACCGTCTGCGCCCTCTCTCCTACCCCGACTCGCACGTTATCCTGATTTGCTTCGCCATCGATTCGCCCGATTCGCTTGACAACGTCCAGGAGAAGGTACCGCAAATGCCTCACACGCGTACAAGCAGCCGCTGACACACAACAGTGGATCTCCGAGGTTCTGCACTTCTGCCAGGGCCTTCCCATCATCCTCGTTGGATGTAAGAAGGATCTGCGCTTCGACCAGAAGACGATTGAGGAGCTACACAAGACCTCGCAGAAGCCCGTGACACCCGAGCAGGTTAGTAGCCTCACTCCACCCACCCATCACCTACTAACACACCCAGGCCGAGGATGTGCGCAAGAAGATCGGTGCCCAGAAGTACCTCGAGTGCTCAGCCAAGACGAACGAGGGCGTCCGAGAAGTATTCGAGCACGCCACCCGGGCTGCCCTGTTGACCCGGAAAGAGAAGAAGACCAAGAAGTGCTTGATCTTGTAAGCCTGGACAAGACTTTGCGACGATATAGGTCGAGAGCCGCCGCAACCGCGCGATGTTGAGCCTGGACAAGAGCAACACGGTGGCGGCTATCGGGTGTCTAATTAGTGGTCTATTTGAGAAGGAGGGCAACATGTCATGGGCCGGTAGGGGTAGCAGACAAGCCGACTCCTTCCAGTCTGCTTGCAGTCTCATCTCTGACGGCACCTATACGAGGCGTTACTGTGCTGGATCTTTTGTGTGTTTGGACCGTACATCATCTTGGGGTAGTTCATGATGGGGTTATCTTCTCAGAAAGCGTGTGGATCGAGATTGAGCAAATGGTAGGATCTTTCTAATAACCGGGTGCTTTGTTTTGCTCTTATCGTGTCTACCCATATCAATCGTTGAAGCCTGTGAACTATATAACATGACTATCTTTGGTGACTTCTATATTGTGACCCAGCTTTCTATCAAAGTAAAGCTATTGAAGTGATGGCTCAACAGCATTTACATACATGAATGATGTGCCAATCTGAAACACGCCTCCCCATCATATCATCCCATCGTGCATCCACCCTTATCTCGCACCAAACACCGCATATCTCTCGCATTATCTCCCTCCCCCTGACTCGCTCGTCACATCTCTCTCCACATACCAAGCCCATACTTATGCAACGCATGTACCAAGACTGTACCAATCCTCTCGACCCGGATGTGAGGTTCCGATGTACCGCCCCGCCTTTAATGCAGGCAGGCAGTGCGAGGCGAGGAGGAGTCTGAGGGCTGGGGCCTTGCTTAAGATGTGCTGGTGCTGGTGCTGGTGCTGGCCGGTGGGTAAGGTGTGTGGAAGGGTGGGTACGCAGTACTATGCAGTGGATAGGTGGATATGTAGAGCGGAAAGTGGAGATGCTTGGGGGATCAGGCCACCAAGCTATTGTCGGTGTCTGCACTGTTTGCTTGACGGTGCGTGGTAGATGTGAGGTGGTTTGTGATGTTGGGCAAAGTATATGTACTGTTTCTTGCCTTGGGATCTTGGGTGTTGGGCAGATGTGAATCGTTATGATGCGTGAATATATGTATTCATGTATATATCTACAAAGTGTCCGCGTAGTGTCTCTCCTCAAGACCAGATTGCTGGTTGTATGTGCAACTCCGGTAATGCTGTGTCCCTGAACGCCCGTGCTAGCAATGCTTATCCGTACCCAAATCCCGTATGCTACATGAAAATCGAAAGCGCGGTGAAGGCTCCTACGAGCGCGAAGAAGGACGTCGAAGTCGGGGATCTCGTAGCAGTACCCTCCTGGTCTTGAGGCTGCCCAGCACCCGCTGTATTCGAGCTCGCTCCCCCAGTTCCAGTCGCTGTCCTCGATGCCGAAGGAGATGCGGTACCTATAAATTTCAAGTCAGTCAATGTTACTTCAACGTCAAAGGCGCAAAAGGCCCAAACATACCAGTAGAACTCTCACTCTCAGCAACAACATCCTGCTCCTGTCCCAACACCCCCAATCCCACTCTGCTGCCCTCGAAATCAAAAACACTGTACACGTTCTTGAGAAACACGTCCCCCACCAACCACTGGTTATCGCCAAACGTCTTTCTGCCCACGATATTACTCCTGCACAACTCCGAACTGTCGTCTTTACTCCCTACCCAATCCGCCGTGGAGATGTTGTATACACGATCGTTGAAACTGAATTGTATGGCGGCGCTCGTGTCGCAGGGCACGAAGAACGTCTCGCCGTCTTGTTCGAAGCCTTGGATTTGGGAATGTAGAGCTAGGGCATCTGGTTCGGGTATGAGGATGAAGGATGTGCCTGTGTCCATGATCGCCGTTCGGTCAACTCCAGTGGTGAGGTTAGCAGACTTTCCGTCTACACCAGCGTCTTGCAATGGTATCTCCCAGAACCCTGACTCGTTGTCTACGCAGTCGATGTAGTTGATGTCGCCGGTAAACCGCTCTTTGTTCACTTCTCCCAGATTCAGTTCGCCATCCATCTTGCCATCTTCGCCCCGACTCAGATGTATACCGTAGAGTTTTGCGCCGATGAGGTTCTGGCTCGAGAGCAAGTCCATGATTTGTGGTGCGGCGATTTCATCGTCGCTTGTGCCTTGAACGCCGCGGCCGATGCCGAGGATGCCGTCCATGGGGTATGCGCGGAATTCGTCGGATACGTTCGTTGCGAGGCCGAATGTGAGGGTGGGGGAGAGGGAGGGGCCGAGGTGGAGTATGTCGGTTGCGAGGTGGCCTGACGAGGAGCCTGTGCCGTAGGTTACGCTGAAGGGGGTTGTTGCGTCGGTCTGGGTGTTGTGTTAGCATTTGTAGTCATGTGTGACCTGACGAAAGAGTTCCAGATGGAAGAAAGATAGAGATGGGAAGCACAACGTACTTTCAGCGTACTCGAATCCGCCGTCCCGAAAGTCGCATGCGTTTTACACGCTTCGCTCTCGCACTCCTCGCTCATAACCCAGGTGTTACTCGCCGCTGAATCGAGCAGCAGATGGTATTCATCCGTGCTGTCGCCGAACGTTACGGCGACCATGTAGCTGAGATCACTGCCATCTTGGTCTATGGCTACGCTGTTTTCTTGGCTGGGGTTGTTCGAATTGACGATGTTGTAGACGTTTTGGCGGGATCGTAATGAGGGTGTGCGTATGCGACGGAGCGGGAGCGTTATGGAGCGCGAGGTCCCGGCTTGGGAGGACGGTGGTTGTGGGGAGGTTCGGTGCGAGTGCGTTGATGTGGAGGCAGTTTTGCCGGAGGTATAGTGGTAAGGGTAGAATGCTGTCGCTGTAGGTAGGATTGCTACCGTTGAGAGCGCAAGCCAGGTTGGCAGGTAGGTGTGCATGGTGTTGTGACGTCGGTGTCTAGAGTCTGAGCTCTTCAGTCCTTTTGCCTTCCCGATTCCTTCGTAACGTCTTCTCAAGGAATCGTGGTATCAAAGTCGCTTTCCAGTATTCCAAATGCGATGTTGTTAACGCGTCCCGTTCGCCTTCAGCCGTGAACGAATCCAACCCAATCCAATCGCCAGAAACGAGCGTAAATAACAAGGCGCAGTAAACGTATACACACGAAGAAGAAAAGATAACGACTACGCAATACCCGCCTGAACGAATGGCACCTAGGTAGGACGTGCGGCTGAAAAGAAGGACAATGCGGGTATGATCATCCAAAAGGTACAAGTAGGTAAACAGTCCCTCAAGCTTTCTAAACGCCACAGAAAACCCAAGTTATCGTGAAAAACAGAAAGAAGACGAGCAGAAACGGAGAGCAGTCCAGACGAAAGAAAACACCAACGCCATCGCGCCATGCACCGCGCAAGCCTCACCCAACATGACGTCCTTGGCTCTCTCTCCTTCCCTATCACGATATGGATCCATCGGACGCGCAACCCGGCTAGTTGAATTTTGCGGGGCGCGCTAACGCCCATCGTGTTTACCCCTGGAACCGACGTTCGTTTGAAACAGCGAGGTCATGTCTGACAGGACCAATGACAGCTGCATGATGTAGCAATCTGCATCGGGTGTCTGGCATCTGGCATCTTCCTCGTTGGGGGCGATGACGGGTTCAAGGCTTTGATTTGCTGGTTGGCAGAGCTGATGCAGACGATCTTAGGAAGGGGAGGTGGGCTTGGCGTAATGCGATGGGCGACGGGGAGGCCGATGGGGGACGATCGGTTTGGGAGTGTCGTAAACTGATTATGCGATGGTCTTGGGCGATGGGAAAGTCTTGGTAACGCTGCGATTGACAGAACTTGAGAGGGCATCTATGACTGGTTCATTCAAATGGTTCTACGAGATCTGGCTGCGGAAGTTTTGACATCTACTATTTCGTCCCCGCCTGAATCATCTCGGGTGCTTTCTTGACACCTACCACCTTCTTTGCCTCCATAATCTCCAGCCTGCTGAGACCCATACCGCTCAGGTATTCGTTGAAGCTGCCAAGGACCTTCTCAAGACCTTGTCTGAGACATTCTCTGGCTTCATCTACTTCAGGCACTTTCCTCCTCTCCGCTTCTGGCTTGCCGTTCGTCTCCTTGTCACTCCAATGGATCGGAGCTGTGTCCATGTACTCATCGATCTTCTTCAACGCAATAGTGAATATGCGCACTATGCTTGGAATTCCTTGGTGAAAGCGTCCTAAACTGTCCTCGGCAAGAGAAAACACCGCAAGATTTGCTAGTGCAGTCGCGGCATTGCAAACTTGGGAAAGTTGGGAGTAAGGTGCGCCGAGAACGACAATGTTCGACGTCCGTTGGAAGGAATGCTGGAACAGTAGGCCGACCGGGGAAGAAACAAGCTTGTTATAATAAGTCGTGAAGAACGACTCGGCTTCCCTGGCACCTTCTTGGGCCTTCTTCATTCCTTTGTTGATGGCTTCCCGACTGTATGCTTGCTGTGCGTTTCCTGGAGCGCTGTGTGACTTTGCAATACTGGCGGTTGCTGCTTCGACATGTTCCCACCTGGTACTTGGTTGTGGTGGCGCAGCAGCAATCGGCTTGTCGTCCTTCAGCGGTTGTGCGATACGAGGAACCAGATTGATAGGTCCGGTCGGCTTGTCTTGACCTGATGCGTCGCTGGGCTGGTAGGCTGGATCGAGACCAGCACTGACGCGTTCGATAAGCCACTTGAGCTGTCCCAGACAGATATCCGTAACTTGCTGATGTGTCGGGGCCTTCTTACGATCTATCTCGCTGTAGATAGTCTTGCGGCGCTCAGGAAAGGCGTCGGTGATGAGGGCTAGCTCCCAGAATGCAATGGCCTGAATTAGTTAGCAGTGAACGTAGTAATAGTATCACTTCGTCTTACCTTGACAGTATCCTTCTTCGACTTGAGTCCGTTCAAAAGGGATCCATTGGGGTCAGTAGAGTCGTTCGTGATGGGCACATCGTTCTTCAAGGGCTCCTGTGCGAGGTACACATCGAAGGTCTTATTGACAAACTCCCAGAGCACAACGAGAAGCGTTCCTTCCGTGACGAACATGAAGCACAGAGGCAAGAATGGGGCAAGTCCTGTGGGCGTAGAAGTCTTGGACAAGCTCCAGAGGTACCGACTGAAACTGTAGTAGTAGCTCCAGATCAGGTTTCGGGTTCCGAGGTAGTAAAGACAGAAACCGGCAGCTGCAGTGACCGAAGCCAAGAAGGTCGAGTGTGTTGCAATGCCCTTGAGCGATCTCGTAAGGACATGTCTGGGCTTGGGGCCCCGTCGTGCCGGAGTGGAAGTGGTCGCGTCACCCCGCTCCTTCTTGGGCTTCATCGCCTGCAACTCAATCTTGTCATAGTCCCTCCACAAGTGTACTCCAGATTGTGCTGCTGATAGTAGGTAGAAGAGATAGCGCAGGTATAGCGGCCTCTCGTTCAGGCGGAATCGCTCGTGCATGCGGCCAGCCTCGATGAAGTTGAGCCTGGCTTGGGTGCCCCGCGACCAGATATATGTTTCGACAAATAGCATTGCAGAGAAAGCGTATGCGACAAGCGTGATCAGCGTCGCAGGACGGAAGAAGTATTTCTTGAACGTCTCGAATCGGGTCTCAGTTTGGCGGCGGCCAACATGCCACTGCGCGACGCGAAGGACGTAGATGGAAAGGGCGGAGAGAAAAAGGAGGAGGGCCCGAATGCCAGTGAGGCCTAGAGGAAACCACAGCCATAGCACTGTCTGTGTTAGTAGGTGTATGGATTTCTTTCAGTATCTCTTACTATTGTCCCATTCTCCCATCCAGCACGCGATCGCATAGCATAGCAGCAGCGTGTACCGACTGGCCTTGTTGAATCTTCGGTGCAGAGCTGGCGTCAGGTAGTCTCTGTACGGGCGCACTTGCGTTCCCAGCGGTGCGAGCGCCATGTTTGCGACAGGTCGGGGCGGAGAGAGCGTATGAGTGAGGAACTGGCTATATCATAGCAAAGAAGCAGAAGGATGGCGTCGCGCCAAGGGTAATTCGAACGCGCTGGTGCGGCAGTCTGGAGTACTGCAGCAAGGAAAGCTGCCCGACTTTGTCAAACAAACATTGTTGATCGGCGCAGCTACCACTTCGTCGCCGACAGCTGCACGCTTACCTAAGGGATCCGCTTGTGCCTTGAGCCATGTGCCCTAGCCGCGGTCCTTCGTCATCGCCGCAGGAACCACCGAGCACCAACCTCCAGGTAACCACGATTGGACTTGGGTACCAGGCTGCAACATCCCCACACACGATCGCATAGCTTCAAACATCGTCCAGACACTCTTCTAGAAGATCATCGACTGTCGCTTCTCTTATCCGGCACCATGTCGTTCCAACGCTCCAGCGCCCTCGAATCGCAACCCACGACATGGCGAAGGGACGACGATCCGTCATACGCCGATGATCCAGAGTTCCGCGACTTCGCCGACAAGCTTTCCGACGACCTCTTCGCCCTGACCCGCAACGTCGCCCGCCTGTCGCAAGAGACGGGCAAGCTAGGGACCAAGCACGAGACCGCCCGCGTGCGCGAGCGCGTGAAGACCACCGTCGAAGAGACATCGGAAAAGTTCAAAGAGCTCGGAGAGGGATTGAAGAAGATCACCACCTGGCCTGATGTCGGGGTATGGATACCTCGTTCTTGAGATGGAAGCCGATAGCTAACAGACCACAGCCCTCGCAGAAGTTCACGCAATCGAAGCTCCAGCGCGAATTCAAAGCAACACTCACCGAGTTCCAACACCTCCAGAAGCAGGCCCTAGAGAAAGAGAAGCAGTCGGCACAGGCGGCACGCACAGCCCTGCAAGACGTATCATCGCCAAGCGAAGAGCGGGGAGGAGACTTCGGGCAACAACAAGAGCAGGAGCAGCTGCGCTTGGCAAACCAGGATGAGGTCGACTTCCAGGAGTCGATGATCATTGAGCGCGAGTCTGAGATCCGTAACATCGAGCAGTCGGTTGGGGAACTCAATGAGCTATTCCGTGATGTTGCGCATATGGTGCACGAGCAGGGTGCTCAACTCGACATCATCGAGGAGAACGTCGAGGTTACGCATGACGCGTCGCGAGGTGCACATGTGAATCTCAAGCAGGCCAGCAACTACCAGAAGAGCGCGAGGAGTAAGGCGTGTATTCTGCTGCTCATTCTCGCCATTGTTTTGGTCATCATCATTCTTGCTGTCATCTTGGACTAGATGATAGCTGCGTTATCTCTATAATGGTTGGTTCTGCTTATTTCGGCGTTGCATTGTACATTTGGGGGGATCTTATACCATGGTGCATTTCATTGCAAATTTCTGTCGTTTTCGAGATGTGTTTTGCCAACTATGTCTTTTGGCTCTCCATCGTATGCTTTGCAGTGGCTTTTGTGTTAGCCAAGTCGTATCTAATCAATGTTCAACATTTTCTCTCACTGTCGTGTGTCCTTCCTGCGTTGGTTGCTCGCTCCTTCCCCCACGTGTCTCTCAGGACAGTGCTCGGCTCACTCAGAAGGCGCGTCGTCAAAACTTTCTCTCACCTCACGCCATGCCACATCACTGACTGCCACCTCACATCTTTACCTTGAGGTTGGCCGCATGTCTACGAACCTCTTCAAGAGTATCGCGGCTGCTCGGGCTGCTGCTGCTGCTACTGATAGTTCGTTCGAAATGGTCGATCACGTCATAGATCTCTCCACACCTCCGTCACGATCTAGATTCCGTCTTCTCCGCGGTGCGCAGACCGAGACCAGTCGTCAACAGAACGCCATGCCACCTCCCAATAAGCCTACATTACCTCTTCATAAGGACAAGGCTGCACCACCGCTTCACAGGTAAATGTATCTCTCTGACGAGTGTGCTATAGCTGACACTTATCCAGTGCCGCTGCAAGAAGTGGCAGTGAGGCAAACGCTATCATCGAGGTTGGCCCAGACCGCATGAAATATCACGTCCAGAAAGCGTTTCTCGTGCACCACTCGGACTATTTCCACAAGGCTCTGAGTGGTACCTGGAAAGAAGCCGAGGATGGAGTGGTGACTCTTGTCGATGTTGAGCCCGCTATCTTCAACCTGTTTGTCGAGTGGCTCTATACCCAACAACTTCCTAGTAGCCGTTCTGACTACAGGCGTGTTGCGGATGCGAATTTCTCCGAAGATGTGTGCAAGATCAGGTTATACGTGTTTGCGGACCGCTTCGCAGTACCTGCATTACGGACAGCTATGAACCGGCAGATAGTCGGCGAACGCGATGTCACTTCTGGATTGTGTTGGGGCGTTACCCAGATCGCGTACGCCTTCGACAACCTACCAACTTCGGACCCAGTATTGGACTTTCTCGTGGATCAATACTACACGGAATGGGGTGGACATTCGACTTTCGCGGAAGGATTGCCGCAGGAATTTCTACTACGTTTCTTTAGGAGGGTTGGTAGCGAGCGTGCTCAAGGCCGCGATGTGGTTGCGGAAAGTTTCAGGGTGGACTTCTGTACCTACCATGAGCATGCGACGGATGCGGACAAGAGCTCCTGTTCCCATAAGCCGAGGCTGGGTGGTGGACACTTCGTTGGATTGGAGCGGCCTGTCAGAAGCGAGACACGCTCAAGGAGCATCGTGGGTTCCAAACGTCCAGCAACTTCATCGTCTTAGCTTCTGGCTGGATAGCATTCCACTTTCTGTACGGGTATCTACAAAACTTTCTGTAATCTAGCTAGCCATCCGCTCTATGCGCTATTGATGGGTTCGCCCTTCTCATCAATCAAACTCTCTTCAGTCTTGACTGGACCTTCACCAACACCTGTCAAAATGACTCTGCTAACACCTTCCTCCAAGAATGTGATAGCGGGACCTGCGTCGAACTTGACCTTCTCAAGCGCGTCGGCGTTGGCCTGAACAGCCTGGCCCCTCTCGCCTTGCCATCCATCCTTCTCATTCAAGATCTGCTTGAACAGACCAGCAACCTCCTTCTCGTTCTCTTCAAGGTAGTACACAACAGCGTTTGGGCCCGCATCGAAGGTGTACGCCGCGATAATCTTGCCAGCCGCAGCGTTGATGCTCTCAACGACCTTGATAGCCGCACGGGAAACGTCATTGAGGTAGAAGATCGGAGGGAAGGTATCGAGGCAAGTAGCGTGGAAGGAGTTGCTGTCCATCATAGTAAGCTTGCCAAAAGCCTCGAAGTCCTTGTCCTGGATAGCCTTCTGCATTTCCTTCATGCGCTTTGGGACCGTCTCTGTAGCTCTTGACTGGAAGAGGCTAGATGTAGCAACAGTGATCTGCATACCAGAGGTACTCGACACACCCTTCTTGGCCGCGCTAACAACCAAGATAACAGCGCGCATGTTGGGCCAGTGGCTCGCAGGCGCAACCTGGAAAGCAACACTATCACTACCATCCGAGGCGGACCCTTGCTCCCAGCCTACATATCCGCCGAAAAGCGATCGGCATGCGGAGCCAGAGCCCTGCCTCGCGATACGTGAGAGGTCGGTTGGCGAAGAAGGGAGCTCGTAGAGGTTTGCAATTGCGCGGACAAGAGCAGCGAAACCGGCAGCCGAACTAGCCAGTCCAGCAGCGGTGGGGAAGTTGTTCTCGGAAACGATGCGCAGAGGTAGGTCGGCGAGTTTAGCGAGGCTAGAGTCCTTCTCCTCGAGCTGCTTCCTCAGTGCCCTCAGCTCCCTGAAGCATGCTTGTGTCCTAGCACCAGAAACATCCTGCGATTGGCCGTTCAGGAGGAGTGTGTCTTCTTTCGGGTAGGTAGACGAGCACGACGCGGTGGTGTGGGTGCGGAGGTCGGACTGCGCGAGGGTGACGCTGAGGGAGGAGTTGGTGGGGAGGTTGAGCTTGGGGTCGCGCTTTCCCCAGTATTTGATTACGGCGATGTTGACCGGGGCGGTGGTGCTGGCACGGTGGATGTCGGACATTTTGACGTTTGCTATAGGAGAAGGAGGGGAGGGAAAGAAGCAAAACACTGAGGGTAGCGGTGAAAGTCAAGGGGGCTTGGTGGGGTTTAATGTTTATATGCAGGGTCTAGTTGGATGCGGTCTAGAAAGCGCGGATCTAGGACAGTGACTCGAGACAGCGGAATTATTTGCGCGGTGAAAGGTTAGACAGGGTCAAGCTTGGAAATTGGCCGTCTACTACAGAGTATTCTCCGGTGGTAGAAAGACATACACCCTGACGCTGTCCAAAGCGGTGGAGTGCGGTAGTTGAAGGCCAGCCAATCAGACGCACCTGATTCCCGCAAAGGCCCGTGCCCAACATTTCTCGAATGGCTTCCGTCACCATCCCGAGTTTCTCGGAACCCGACAAAACCAACCTCACACATTTGCACCACAATGTCCTCGCAAGACGACCCAGCAGCCGCCTGCCCCGTCGACCACAAGACACGCGAAGCATGGCTCGCACAAGTCCGCGCCCAAAACGGCACCACACCACCAAATCCCCATAGCACACCCATCCCAACACCCGCCGCCGCGGCCGCGGCCGCCGCGCCAGCACCCTCCCAATCCGCCGTCCAGCAATCCTGCGACTCCTCCACGCTCGACCAAAGCACCACCTCCCCACCCCCAAGCAGCACAAGCATCCTCTCGCAAATACGCCTCGGCACCGACCGCGAAGTAAGCACAATACCACGCGCCCTACCAGACCAACTCGCAGCGACACCAGCACCAGATGCGCGCCCCGCCAACAACGAGCGCGACACGGGCTCCGACAAGAAAACCGGAAACTGGATCTACCCCTCCGAGCAAATGTTCTTCGACGCCATGCGCCGCAAATCCTACGACCCGTCCGCCCCAGACATGCGCACCATAGTGCCCATCCACAACGCCGTCAACGAACGCGCGTGGCACGAGATCAAGAGCTGGGAAAGCGGGCGCGGCAGCGAGAAATGCGGCGGGCCTAAACTGGCGAGTTTCTCTGGGTTGAGCACGAGTTTAACGCCGAGGGCAAGGTGGAAGAGTCTGATGGGGTATCAGCCGCCGTTTGATCGCCACGATTGGGTGGTGGATCGGTGTGGGACGAAGGTTGAGTATGTGATTGATTTTTATGCGGGCAGGGATGAGGGGAAGGTGGGGAAGGCGTTGAATTTTTATTTGGATGTTAGGCCTAAGTTGAATAGTTGGGAGGGGGTTAAGATGAGGATGGCGCGGTTTTGGGGGTTTTAGGGACGGAAGACGGGGGGGGAGATGGGGGTTGTAGGATAGATTTGTATATATGTATGATTAGTTGACTTGGAGTGGGGGAGTATAGACAGGATCTTGATGAGTATGGATAGGATGTATATATGAACGCGAACGGGAATAGAGTAATTTCGCTCAAGAAGGGAATCCTGCGCCTGTAACGCGCAGTCGACGCTACCATACGCCTCTATGCGCCATGCGTCCATCTGAGACTTAATTATATCCCTGGAACAACTCCCTCTAAGAACTTCTCCTCCCACCCTCCGACATCAAGATACGTACAGCCGAACGTACGACAAAGTCTATCCCTCATCAGAATCAGAACGGATTCATCCCAACCACCTCCTAACCTAATAAACATCCACACCCAACTTCCTCAACTTATTACAATTCTTCAACTCCATATTCCGCGCCTTATTCATAGCCTCCTGATCGACACTAAACCAGCCCTGTGCCTCTTCCATCGCCCTCCTTTGGCGCACCCTCTCATTCTGACACCTCGTATTCGTAATATGCACATATTGGTTCTCGGCTATATCATCCAACTTGCGCCATTTCTTCGGCGTGTATTCATGCACTTCCTTGGGGTCGACGTAGTAATCTATCTTTATCCGCGTGGACACGCGCTTGAGTGTGTTGGGGGAGCGCGGTGTTTCGAAGACGAGGTTGGGGCTTGCGGAGGTGGAGGTTGAGCCGGAGAAGAGGGAGGAGAGGAGGGGGAGGACGAAGAGGAAGAGGAGGGGGAGCAGGTTGGCGAAGGCGGAGGAGAGGTTTTGTTGGCCTTCGCTGCCGGGGGGGACGGCGGTGCCGGGGCGTCTGCGCGGACGGCCGCCGCCGAATTGGTGGACGCGGACGCCGGGGCCGCCGCCGAGGTTGAAGACGAAGCCTGGGCCTGTGTCCATGCCGCCTGTGGTGCGTTAGTTCGTCGTCTTTTAGTTGGTCTTGCTGTGCAGTATGAATCTTGACTTTCAAGACCGAGGTCTCCGGGCAGAGGAATACGTACCAAAAGGCCCCCCAAACGCACCCCCAAAGAACTGTCTAAACAACTCTTCAGGCGTCATCTCCTCCTCAAACCCACCCCCTCCTCTTCTCGCAAACCCATTCCCAAACGGACTCGCACCACCCCCTCCATTCGCACTCGCATGCGCCCTCGGATCAAACCGCGCATCTGGATCCCCGCCAAACTGATCGTACTTCTTCTTCTTATCCGGATCACTCAGCACCTGGAACGCCTTGCTGACCAGCTTGAACGCCTCGTCCGCGCCGTCGTACCCGTTCTTGTCCGGATGCGTGAGGAGGGAGAGCTTGCGGTACGCTTTCTTGATGTCCGAGTCTGAACAGCTGGCTTTTACTTCTTCCAGACCGAGGATCTTGTAGTAGGCGGTTGGCGCGCATGATTTGATGCGTATTACGGCGGCTTTTTGCTCGACCGTGAAGGCTCGGCCGGCGCTGCCGTCGTGGTGGTCTCGCGATTTGGCGTCGGAGCCGGAGGTCTTGCCCGACATTGTGTCGTATGCGAAAGGCGGTTTGTGGGGTATCGGTGTGTTGTGGTGGGAGATTGTGCTGCCGGGGCAGGCAGCGGTGGGGGTGGGAGGCCGATGCGCAAGTGTGGACGGCTGGTGATGATCTAGCGGTGATGGCGATGGGTGTGCGTGAATCGAATATCGTCCCGTGACGGGGTTGTGGTTGTATTAGTCGTTAAAGCGTTATCTGTTGTCTGTCGAAGTTCGCGAGTCCCGGAGGCCAGTTTCCATGTGCTGGGTTGGCACGGGCGGGCGGTCCACTTGCCGGACCAACGTCATGGTCTTCACCCAATCTCAACCCATGTACCCTTCTGCGCGCATTTGTTCCTGAGCACCGGACGTATTCACCCATCAGTCAATTCTTTAACGCACTTCGATAGCACACTCGAACTCCGCAATGCCCGAACAACCGAAAGCCTCCATGCTGCAATCGCTGAGGAATTGGGGAGGTACGTCTATCCTATCACTTCCTGATTCACCTCGTCGCACGTGCCTCACATTGTCTTGCACAAATATCGAGGCAAAGTCACTAACTCAATCATTCTTGTACAGAGAACTCCGTACCGCCAACACTCCTCGCCACCCTAATCACAGCACAACATGCTCGTCCATTCCAGTTCTTCCCCATGACGTTTACCCCCGTCTTGCTCTTCTCCTCCTACCTGAACTTGAGCAACTACAAGACCGATGCTGCCGGTATCACGGCTGCATGGAGTGGGCTGTATGCATTGCTTGCTATGCGGAGAAGTCAGGTATGTTTCAATCAATTTCCCGCGTGGAAAGATTTCTTCATCGGACTACATCGAGAGTGGCAAAATCTAACCAAAAACAGGGCATCAAGAACAAGCTCAGCGCTCGCGGTATAGTAAGAGGAGGCTCACTCGCTCTCTGCGCGATCAACGTGGCAGGTTGCGGTCTAGCCTACACATTCGGCAAGCGAGAAAAGGAAGAGAAGAAAGCATAGAGCTCGACAAACGCCGTCATTTGTAACATTATGTATCCCTAAGATTGTAATCTCTAAAACTAGTCATACGATCTTGCAATGAGATCTATCAGATGCAACCCATCTCAAAGACGCCGTCGCTATGCTGAACAATCGACATCATTTGCGAGATACCTTATCAATCCCAGGCATCACCCCAGCCTTCCTCTTCTTCATCCGCCTTCGGCTCTTCTTTCTTGACCTCTTTCCTAGGCGGCACGATGACTTTTCTCGTCGTTCCTGTCGTGCTCGACCTGCTTCCTACTGCAGGTCTGGCGGCCTTTGCTGCTGGCGTAGCTGATTTAGTGAGACCTTTTGGAAGAGCGTTCTTCGTGGGCTTCTTCGCATTCGATTGAGCTGCCAACCATCCTGCGAAGTCTGGCTCGCCCTTGTCATCGTATGACGTCGTGGATGCTGGCTTCGACACGGCTGGTGTACCCCATGGGTCCTCCTCATCTTGTGGTTTTTCCTCTTCGTCAGCGAAGCCGCCCCAGTCATTGTTGAAGTCTTCTGCCTCGTCATCAAACGCCGCTGCTGGATCTGGTGATTTGATGGCTGGAATTGAGGCGGTACTCTTCGCGCTGTGAAGAGTCATTCCGGGCTTTGTGGCTACAGGGACTGGTGGTTTGCTGGCTGTTGTAGTAGCTGGTGGTACAGAGGACGATCTTTGATCCGCTGCTCCATTGGTTACAGAGTTGGCCTGCATCTCGCCGCTTGTGGATGCTAACTTGTTTGTGAAGCTTGAAATGGCCCAGCCGGCCCACGAGGTATCGTTTGCAGGTGTCCCAATCCGTGGAGTAGGTCCCCCGCCAGCGGCGAGACCTGGTGATGGTAGCACGGTGTCCGGCATTGTGGCCGCGAACTTGCGGATCCGTGCAATGTAGATGTCAACACTCTTCTGTGCTTGGTCGCGAATGAGCTTCTCCTTGTCTACCAATGAAGGACACATGATAGGAAGGAGCTTGGTCGCACAGTCATCTTCCGTGAAGAGATCGGCTGTTGCGGCCAGTGCAAGCAGCGCCGCGTTTCGAGCGTGTACGAACGGGTCACGTAGCGAGCGAGAGAAAGCTGCTGCGAGGACTTTGGCCCGGCTCTGACAATATGTTAGTGTCTGTTTTGTTTGTCTAATGTATCAAGACGTACGCTAGCTCCCAGGTTCCGCGCAATCTTTCCTAGACAGATTGTAGTGTTGGTCCGAATACCGGGCTGTTCATCGTTTGCCGTCTTTGCTAGATGGCGAAGAAGCTCGCCATTCACTGTTCTATCTGATAACTTGGGTACCACAGTAAGAATAGCTTTCACTGTCTGTTCTCTCACTACCGGTGCGATGTCCGAGAAGCCAGTCACCTGGTGATGTTAGTATTTCGTTTAAGCAATTAAATATGCGCTTACCATTTGGGGGAAGATCTTATCGTTCACAAGCTTCTGAGGTAGATGGTCGATCATGAGCGGCAGGTTGTCTAACAAACAGACCCGTATTCCTCGATCCGGGTTTGCGAAAAGCCGTACAACAACCGGTGTAATTTGAGTTTCGTACTCGTCGTCTGAAAGCTTCTGTCCTATTTGCATGACAGTACTGAATACCTTGGCACCTCCGCCTCCAAACTCGACAGACTTCAGTAGTTCAGGAAGTACCTTCATCTTGAAGAAATCCGCTGGGAAGTCGTCCGCGACCGCATCAAGCTTCCTATGATCGGTCAGGATACTGGTTAGAAATGGATTCTGGAATCACCTACCCGAGTAGCTCATTCCGCTCGTCCTCGGCTTTCAATCCCAGATTCTCAATGTCGTCCGTCACTTGAATCAATGGTGTTTGGAAGAAGCCTCCGATCCGCTTTCCCTGATCCAGAAACTGGCCCACGCTCATACGCGACTTTGGGTTTGGGTTGAGGAGGCGTTTGTATGATTGGTGCATGCTTGGTGGAATGCTCTTCATTTGCCCTAGCTGGTCGCTACTGTTGTAGCTGCCGTTGAAGACCTCGAAGATAAGGATTCCATAGTTGTATGCATCTACAGCGTGCGTCGGATTCTGCTTAACGACCTCCCACCCTCCTTTCGAGACTTCAGGAGCCATGTACCGTCCCGCATCTGGTATGAGACCACCATAGGTCGGTATTATGGAATCGTCCTCTTTCACAGAGCTCAGCGCATCGAAGCCGCCAAGTTTCCACTCGCCGCTCTCGCTGAAGAATATAGACGCTGGGCGGATGCATCCGTGTATCGACGCAGCATCGGCATTCACGAACTTGAGCGTCTTCGCAATGTTGTGTAGCCCCCATTTCGTGGTCTCTTCTGTCAGACTCTTCCTCTTAACATGCCAGCTGAGTGGGCTTAGTCGTTCAGTCGCGATGTAGATATACGTCTCCGTCTCTACCGTGTCCAAGACCTTCACGACTCCTGGATGACGCAGGGTGCGTAGTTTGCGGAGCGCATTGCGAGCGAGGGGCAGTCGCGACTTGTTGGCGGTTATGTCGAAGGAGAAGATGCTGCATTTGGAGCCGTCTTCCTAGCAGGCGTACGTTAGCAAGTGTTCGCGCACAGGCAGACCTCCGGGCCATACTCGCTTTGTGCCGTTGTGCAGTGTCCAGATGGAGTCGTTCAAATCGACCCGATCCCCAAATGTGTAACCAAAGGCCGGGCCTTGCGATATCGCAGACGCGACCGCTGATTTGAGAAAATTCATAGCGCTGCCGTAACTTTGGTGAATCTGTACAGCAAGCACATGCAAGTGCACGCAGAGGCCAGATCCGCCTGCCCCACCGGATCATCGGCACGTGATAGCGTGATCCACGCTCAACGCACAGTCCTGGAGCCCTGGATTCTTTCCGTCCTCAACACCGGATGACACAACAATCGGCGCACTCCCGCCTTTACTTGCAGCCTCGCATCGTTCTCTCACCCACACGCATGAGAAATCACAAACTCCGCATGGCTGCTCGCAGGCTGTTCTCACATCGTCTTCTCCCGTATGTCGCGCGGAAGCGGCACCTTGTCCTAGACGCGTCTCTCCGGACTAAGCCCACTCTATTCCGAGTCGGGTCAGCGGATTGAACCACACAGCAAGTAAGTAATCAAGCACTGACAACTGACGCGGATCCCTTCTCGCATGATGACCATTGGTAAAAGGTTAGATCGCTGAGAACACTGAGATGGTTTGCCTTTGCGCCTGCTGCGTGGCCTAGCATGTCGCGGCCTTGACTGTTTGCGCGTGCTTGCCCGTTGAAGAAACAAAGCGGAAGCCTCCAGTGCAGCGAAATGCTGCCATGCAACAAACAAACTGAACAGAACGGATCCACCTCGTTCATTGTCACTTGACTCTCTTAACGATAGTTCAAAAGTACACGCTAACATTCATGGACTATTGCAGGTACTAGCTTCTACCTCCGTCCAACATTCCAGATGGAACATCATGAGAGCGAACAACAGGCGCCTTCTGAACCTCGCCTCAAGCTACCACATCATGATCGGCCTGGCGTTGTCGACAAGGAAGTCTCAGAGAAGCCTCCCACCTTGAGCCAAAGTCACGTACAGCCGCGCCGAAAGAGTGTGATATCACCGCCTCCAATGAAGCGTCAACGTACAACATCCGGCAAGCCCAATTCGACGATTCGAAAGGCAGGTCTTTCGACTGACCCTAGCGCAGTCACGCACAGGTATGGAGGATGTTCAGGAATACATAACTATACTGACGAGTACTATAGCTTTAATGAACACGTTGTAGCCACCTCGACTGCGCAAAGTAACCTGAACGCGGGCATAATACCGGTCTCCAAATCGTTCCCAGCACCAGCTGCTCCTCAACCACATGTAAACCGGAACGCCCGCGATATCTCAGGCAGGCGCCATGTATCTCAATCAAGAAAGCCCTCGAAGTCCGGTTCATTTCCTAAAGCTACCTGTCTCATCTGTGATAAATCCAGTGCCACGAGCTATAACCCGATAGTCGCATGCTCGGGATGCTCTAGATCATACCACGATAGCTGTCGAAAGCCTCCGCTCGCCCCGGGCACTAATCCGTAAGGTGCTCACACCTTTAATGATAAATAAAGGCTAAAGAAGACAGGCTACTGTGGCGATGCTCAGCATGCTTGAGTGATATTGGAACACGTAAGCCTTCCAGCGTGTCCTCAGCACCGGCCCCCGCTAGTCACTCTGTCGTGAGAGAATTGTTGAAGCCGAGATTCGCCCACCGAGTTTCAAATGCCGTGCCACCAGATCGTGTCCCAGAGGTCATTCCTGAAAAGCGTGTGGAGCCTGAGATCGCCCTAACCACTCCGAGTGCTGCCACATCTGTCAATCTCAATAAACCCAAGGATGTTTTGGGCCCATCTCAGCCACTTGAACCAAAGCTGCTCGAGCGCACAGAGATTCCGAACACACCATCACAACGATCGAGCCAGTTTGACAGTTCTATACCCGAACATTTATCAGAAAAACTCCCTAACGACCGTGTCTCCCAACAAAACACCTCTACGCAAGATGATGAGGATGCATTGGCCCTCGATGATCCGAGCCACACCCAAAACCAGGTCCCTTTCACAGCTTTGTGCTCGGGCTGTCGAAAACAGACCGCATTAGGCAAGGCCGGAGAGAAAGATGCTCAGTGGTACGTGGGTGCATATTTTATTCCAGACAAGTCTGATCGATGTATAGTCCCGGCTGTCGCACAAAATTACGTATTGCAGAAAAGGGCCAACAAGAGATACCGGAGACTCCGGATGTCGACACCGCTCGTCGTCATGCGTCACTCCTACCAACGAGCTCGGCAAATTCGATTAGTCATCAATCAGCTGCAAGACTAGGTAATCATGAAGTGGAAATGGTTTCCTCAACACATGTTCCGCCCATGTCAGAGAACAAGCCTGGGTCAACAACGGCCATAACCGGCCCCTTGTCCTGGTTCGACCCAGATCGGGCAAAGATCCTGCCGGATATAGGGAAGGTTCGTGATAATGCTCTGCCTGGCTTATCCTCCGCAGACACACCAGCTCCAGATGCCTTGATTACTTCACAAGAAACCTCACTTGAGCAGAGTGCGCCGATAGAAGTAACGTCGACTGCTGAAACTCTTGGCCAGAAGACTATGTCAAGACCCAACGAGATAAACCCGGAAAGTTCATCGTCCAACAGCGCTTCAGTACCACAGGTCAATGAGCCGCAAGAGCGCTCTGTCCAACCCGCTGAGACGCCAGATCTCGACGACTTAGCAGGAACGTCCGGTCCGCATGTTTTTCGTTCCGCCTCAACACATAGTCTAGATCTGCTAGGAGAAAACGAATATCGGAATCTGGCATCCACTGTTCCTGAACCTACCCAAGTGGGTACGCACATGTCGCCTAAGCACCCTTCTACCAATGGTTTGCCGGATCGAGCTGCCCCTGCAGCGGCCAAGGAACACGAGTCAGCGGTTTCAAAGTCGAATGAGACGGTTGAAAGAGATTCCAATATCTCTGAAAGCCTGACCGAAGCACACTCAGGTCCGTCTATACCAACGAAGCGTCACACAAACCGCGATTTAGCTAGGATAGCCTTGGTGTGTGCACAAGGCACAGGTATGACCGCGTTGGAGATGATCGACTGGCTGGCTTTGAGATTCTCCTACTTGAAAAAAGGCCAAGGTGCCTGGGAGAAGAGTCTTAAGTCAGTTCTCTCCCATCAACCTGAGTTCTACGGCGAGAAGCCTTCAGGACGGCCAAATGAACGTGTTGTGTACAACTTCACTAGCACAGCCAATAGGGCGAAATACGAGGAAGAGTACCATGAGTACCTTCCTTTGCCTTCAGTGCCGGGACCCCAGGACGGTCACCGGGAGGCCAGGAAGAGTACACCACAGCGTGCTGTAGCGGACAATGTCATGCAGCACGAGGAAATCCAGGATAAACAACCAACTCAGACCAAGAGAAGAATTACCAGAGCTATCAAGAGTGCACCAAGCCGCCGGAATGCTATGACTCACGATTCCCTACCGACACCAATGACGGAGGAGGTTACTACAGATGCTGAACCAGGATTCAACCCATTCGAGCGTGCTACTGTCTCACGTCCGACAAGGGCGCCTGTTAACGATCTCGAAGCCCAACGCGGAACGGACTTCCGGAGTGCATATTCGCCCAACATAGCGCCTTCAATTGAGACCATGACCTCGGAAGAGAAGGCTGCAAAGATTGAAGAGATCAAGGCCAGGCCATCACGGAAGCAATTCTTTGGAGCGAATTGGCGTTTGGCACACGTGCGAAAATACGGGCGGGAGGATATTCATGATGAAAGCGATGGTGCATGGATGCCTCATGACACATCGGAGAGATCGATGACGGATCGCAACTCTGCTCCGAACGATCGCGATGAGAATCAGTCTTTGTTACAGGTCTTCAATCTTCCGACCAATACTCGCCCTTTCAGTGACGGCAACGAGCTGGTTTTTCGGAATACCACGTTGGTAAGTCACCGCACCCAGTCTTTCAGGGCAATAGAACAGTGAACTGACAATCTTTACAGGTTAATGGACGACTGCCCCGGTCGCGGCAGGCATATCGAGTGGGCAAAGTGTTTGGGGGAGAACTCACTATCAACTGAACCATCGGTCCTCGGCGCACTGTATCATCTTTTACCGCATTATACCCTATCGTTCTTGGACTGCAATATGATTATCTTTCCTTACCCGTCGATTGGGCATCTGTGATGCATACATCTTCTGTGGTGACTAAACATTCTGTCTCCGGCTCTTCACAAGACTCTGCAAGCCGATCATGGTTTGATCAAGGACGAGCATGTGGAGCGCACTTGGAACAAACTTCCGTTGCTGACAGACCCTCGCTTGGCGCCCTATGTACCCGCCAGTCTCGCGCCTTCCATCTCCACTGCAAGCACCCCAAAACAACGACTCCCAGACTGTGGCGCCTCACATTGGACGGACGGGCTACCAACGATTGAAGGCCCGCTTATGTCTTGCCGCCCGCGGTGGTGCAGCCCATGGCGTGCGGATGTTTCTAGCTCTGAAACACGGCCCTTGCGGCTACGCGAGCGCGTTTCAAGGCGTCAACACCAATCATTACGCGACTGCCACACCTCGACCAAACCGCGCCTCATCGGCTGGATGCCAAAACCCCACGTTGACCCTGTACGATGCCTTGTAACAATTTCGCAGCCGAGTCTGCTCGCTGCGAAATGATTGACTGGGCCGCCCTCTCGCAGTGCCGTTCCCGCCGAGTCTAGCGGGGAGCGTTTCACATGGGCCGGTAGTACGGGCGCGACTACGGTCGCTGGAGTCGTTTGGGCCACTCGAAGGTGAGGCGACGAGCCTTTCCCAGCGCGATGGTCGATATTGGATTCTATTGTAAGGTTCGCGACTATGGGCAGGTCAGGCTAGCGGCGAATTATGTCCTGAGGCTCCCCTCCTCCTTCACCTGGAGTTCTTGCTTCTCCATTTTATCTTCAGTCTTCACGTCTCTATTGTTCGTTATTGTTACTATTGTTGAAGGCATGCTACTGCCTTGACGGCGTGGGACACTCCCTTTTACCTTTATCTTCGTAAACTTAACTTGTTCAATCTATACGCTCTCTCTCCCTTCTTTTACCCTACGCTCGACGCGACTGCTGGACAGACCAATTGTATCTCTCTACGAACCTGGACGATTCAGTATCCTACGACTCTCACTCTACACGAACAAAATGGCGCTTCTCTCAGCCGAACACCTGGCTGGTCCGGGCTACATTATCCTCAACGTCTTGCGCGGTCTGAACATCATTGCTCTCGCTTCCGTGGTCGCCAGCAGCGTGGTCATGCTGGTGAAGACCTTTATCATCTCCAAGGTACGTCTAGAAACCTACTCTTGAGACTCGCAAAAGCTCACATATGCAGTTCTTCTTCTTCGATGCCACGAGCCATGTGATCACCGCAATCGCCGGACTCTTCTTCATCGTCTCAGAATGCTCGCTATTCCGCAACTTCTACGCCCGCAACTGGCCACTTCTGAGCCCCTCGCATGGCTTCGTGACTCTAGGCTGCGCGATGATGATAGTCGGGCTCAACATGCTCGGCAACATGAACAAGGAAGCCACAAGCCAAGAGTCGCTCACCCTACCTTTCTGGCGCCTACTCGTAGCCTCTGGCATCCTAGCCATCGTCATCGGCTTCTTCAACATCGTCGCGAGCTTCGTCTTCCGCGACAAGTCCCGGCGAATCACCGCGCGCATGGTCCGCTCACGAGGCGCCATGACCCTGCACGAGGACGCCGAGACGCAATCCCAATACGACCCCAAGCACAAAGCCTTCACCATCACCACGCACCACACCGGCAGCACCTCCTCGCGCAGCGCCTTCAACAACAGCCCACCGCCCATGCGCACAGGCACCCCGCCCGTCGACTGCGGCTCCCCTCAAGTCCCCTCCCCCACAAAGGAAGACCCAAACCGCCTCTCGCAATTCGACTTCAGCCCCCTCCGCGCCTTCCGCAACGCCCGCCAGTCCTTCCTCCCTTCCTACCACAGCCAGTCACCGGCTAAACCTAGCTTCTTCTCGCACCGCCCCTCCAGCTCCATCTACTCACGCACCACGTCGGGCGAGCCTGCACGCAAGAAGTTCTGGCAGCGCCAGCGCGAGGAGCAGGAGGAGGAGACTGCGCGCATGCCGGAGATTAGCTATCCGTTGAATGTGAATCCGCAGTTTGCTCATCTTGTTAAGCCGAATTTGGCCCATCATCCTAGTGTTAGGAGGCCGGAGGCGGATTACGAGAAGTTTTAGGTGGACTGGACTGGACTTGCAGGGGTACGGGGGGATTTGTGAAGATGGAGTACGATTACTATGATACCACTTTCTTTTTTCTTCTTTTTTCTTTAAGTTGTTACATCAGCATACTGCTACACGCGGCATTGGCGTTTGGCACATTGAGACTACTATCGTTGACGCTCCATAAAGACGCCTATCTGTCGAGCGAGCTGTCCTTCATTGGAAACGCTACTTTCTTTTCTGGGGTTCTCACTAGCATATACTCCTCTCTTAGCAATATTTAGTATTGCTATTCCATGACTTTGCTCTTCATTGCATCTAAGTGATATGTGATGCGCATATATATTTACATATGGTACACAGCGTGAGAGTTCGCTGATCTTTCCTGACTTGGTGCTTTGCGAAAGTGCTTGCTACCAGCCAGGACGTGGCGAGCTGTCAGCCTTCGCATCAGCCAGTCCTCAAGTATCCACCCACTCCGCAAACCAGAGTTGCTTCTCTCTCCACAGCAGCCACAGCATCCCCGCCATCTACCTCTCCCCCTACTCCTCCACAGCAATTGCCTGGAACGGATCAATAGCATTCCCCTGTGGATCATAAAGCTCCAACCTCGTCCCATCCTCCAGCGTCAAACTATACTCCTTCGTATAATACAGCCCACCCCTGCCTCTCCTCCTGCACGTCAACCTAACCTCGCCCGCCCTCTTCGTCCCTTTAACCCAGAAGCTGATCTCGATGCGCCCATGCAACTGGTTGATCTCGCCCTTGATCCAAGGATATTTACTCGCAAAGTAGATTTCGTCGCCGAGCTGCTCGCGCACGAGCGGGTTTGTGCGTAAAGCGTAGAGGGTTGCGGTTACGACGGAGGATTCTTGCTTTTGGTAGTTGAAGAAGGCGAAGAGGCAGGCGGTCATGGCGAGGATGAAGAGGGGCATCGTTTTGAGGATTTGAGGGGATATTAGGGGTGGGACTCTGGGAGGGGGGCTTGTTAGTGGGTTGTTGCGAAGACGGAGTGTGGATGGAGGGTCAATGGGCTGAGGATGGGTGTTGTGCAAAGGTGGACATACGGTGGTAATGCGCGGTTTGGCCGGCGCTCAAGCAGTATCTCGCCATCTTTGGGTGGGGGTATGAGGTTCTCAGGTGACCAGACGCTGGTTGGTGTTTTCCAGGGTACGACGGGCTTTATGTCGCTTTGCGGTGGTGTGGTTGATGCGCGGCGGAAGGGTGCGATGCGGCGGAGACATTGGTAATTCGCTTGCGGTCGCGCGCGAAGTAGCGCTGGGGAAAGCCGTGGAGGAGGCATGGTGTTGTGGTTGAATTCCAATTCGGTGGGTTTGGAGATGGGTGGATGAGATCAGTGGATTCGGTGGTGATGATGTTTGCATGGTTTGCATCGTTGCGCTAGTGGGGCATGGTCCTCGTCGACTTCATCATCGGTTTCATCAACACCAATATATATCATACACCCTACGCGCAGGGTATCTATGAGATAACATCTCTGACGTGATACTACTCGAGAAAACCGCGAAAACACCTGGGCGCGAGCAATGGACCGTCCCTTGCCCAATTGGATTGGCTCCAGAGTACTACACAATACGCGTCTTCCCGGAATGGATCCAGTGTATTTTGACATTATATGGTACGATACACGGCTTCTTGCTTCATTGAATGCCTCTCGTCATTCTACTCGAACATGACCGTGAGGCACAGGCCTATCAAGTTGACACGGAGTACACGCCTCTATGTCTTGTCTTTTCCTTCTACAGTCGCGACATCAAAGCTCTCCTCGAATCTTTCATCTACTATCTCATCAAGTCGTCATGCTACTCTATATGTGACATACTTATACAAACGTCCTTGAGTTGTACGCAATAAGGTAAAGTCCCTACAGATATTTGCAGCGTTAAGGCATGCTCGTACCACTGTCAAATATAGCGCATGCCTTCAGCGCACTTGATACCTAGTCGTGGATTTGGGAGAACAAGGTTCACCGAAGCACCTCATACATAAAAAAAACCGAACAACTGCCTCCTAGAAGTCTACATTACCCCAAAGAATATGTGAACTTCGACCCTTATACCAACGTAGACGGCACAGTACCTGTTTAGCTTTTTCCTTGTATGAGGTGGAAGCCTCTAGTCAACTGTGCTCAGCGGTGTGGGCGTCGCTGCCCTTCGTTGTAGCCAGTCACATGAGAGCCCGTTGTTAGCGGCAACGCCAAGCATTGCTCTTTCTATCTACAGTGTTTACACACGTTCCGATTTTCACTCTGCCAGATACAATCGTCGCATCAGCAAATCGCCCACGATGCCAGGACTCACTGGCGTTAAAGCACCGGTGGTGTATTTGGTCCAAGATCATGACATTGTGCTCACGACCGAAGCCGGCTTGGTAAGCGACCTTGACCTGCATGCGATGTCTAGCTGACCTTTTGCGCAGTCTGATCTGTGCATTACCATATTCGGCACCGTTGACGACGATGGCGTCAAACACGTCACAGACCTGCTCGTCAGTCTGGATATCTGCACCAAGTCACCTTACCTGAAGGCTCTCCTCGAAGCTAGCAAGGACAAGACAGAGCTTACCTTCGGTGATGACGCCAAATCAGTTCACGATGGTGAGAACAAGGAGGGTTACCTGATCTGGCTCGCCCATCTCCATGAGCTTCCCGAACAGCGACTGGAAGAGTTGGGTCTCTTCAAGGGTAAAGTAGCCGCCACGAATAGCTCCGAAGATATCTTGCTAACTTATCACTAGTATGTAGCTCCCTTGCTATGCTTTGCCAACGCGGTTCTGAGACATCTTATTATTCGTGCTAACAGCTTGATAGGTCTCGCTTGTGGGAGTTTGGCATGCGATATCGCTGTGGGACACCCGTCAAGAAGGCAACATCAAAGAGACTTTGGGGCCTTGGTTCAACAAGTGGTACGAGAAGAACATGGCCAAAGTTGACCTGACTGTTCCGACTGCTCGAGCCCTCGCATACCCTTGCTATATCTTCGACCATGCTGTCGGCTATGCGCGCGTCACCAAGTATCTCGCCTATGAGCATGTTGGACACGTCAAGGAACGTCCGCCGAAGGGTTTCAAGGGCCCCAAGCACCTCCACATCAACGAGCGCATGTTTGTCGGTAAGTCTCTTCCTCTCTTTTTTACCCATCTACACGCATGTACCAGAAAACTCCGAATGCCAACATTGCTTAACAGGTCCTCTGAACCATGCCCGCGGAGGCCTCCGTAACTCTCTTCACAAGTCACTCTATTCGCGCGTCGGCAGAATCCTTCGTTCCGAGACTTCGTTGTGCTCCTGCTGGGATGCCACTATCGGTCGTTACCAGCTAGCCCTTACGAAGTGCGATGCTTGGCCAGTCGACGATGTCCTCAACTACTCCAGTATCGGCCAGGTCGTACGTCGCCTCAAGGCTTTCGATTACGCGTACACTGCGAAGTGTAACCGTTGCCGTAGCATCGACTGGGAGAGCACCGTCCTCAAGGCCATGTCCAACACGCTCGGATACTTCAATGGCATGTGCCTTGATTGTATGGACCGTAGCAAGCCTCGCGGAGATAACCTAGATGACGAGTATGAGAAACACAACCAGTCTGTTGGAGGTCGCTGGGACACAAAGTGCCGCATCAAGCATGGCCAACCTACCTGGTACATATCCTGGCTTGGTCGACCGGACCTCCGTGAGAAGATTCTTCGAGGTCCTGACGGCTACCGTGCGCCCGAAGAGGATTGAGAGTCTCGGGATGGGCGGATGTAGCTGACAGAGTGTTCGTACATTACGCATTCACCCAATATCTCGTGGATGTCGGTGCATAAACACGCTTATTGAGGACCTGCGAGCTGATGGGAGTACGACTAACTAGAGTTGTTCTGACCAGGGCTGAGCTCATGGAGTGCACATATAGCTGTTGATCACGATCACAATACACAGCGTTCAACACATGGATGGAACTGAAAGTGATGAAGTTGGAACTCTATGAGATTCATTAAGTGCTAAACGCTCGAACATCGGGTATCTCCATGCCTATCGTACACTCATCGTCATGCTAACAATAAAGGAAATGCTCTCGTAGCCTTCGTCAGAGAAGCTTAGTGGACACGGCGAGCGTTGCGACCGTCAGTACCGTGCATGCGGCGGGTGCCAGCAGCCTACATAATGTTAGTAAAGTACATTTCATCAAGACCAACGATTGATTACCTTGAGACCTGGCCTGCGAGTCAAAGAACCCCTCAACTTCATCATCATTCCGCTGACTTTGTCACCCATGGTAGCATGACGCTTGTGGTGGTGGACTGGGGCTGCAGTAGTAGCGTGACCGTGGCGACCACCAGTTGTGCGAGTGGTTCTGGTAGTCGTGGTGGTGGTGACGGTAGTCGCAGGTGCGCGCTTGGTGGTGCGTGTCTTGCGTCCACCCAGCAGGCGGGTCTTCAGGGACGGGCGAGCACGAGTAGTGGTGCGAGGAGCGGCGCGGCGGGCGAGCGGCATGATTGCTGAAAGGTGTTTTGGTAGGTTTAGGTTGGTTGAAGTAGAGATAGGGTTGTGATGTAGAGTCGGAAGCTCTTAGGATTAATAGCTTATAATAGATAGAATGGTGTAGTGATGTGAACACACAAAGTCGTGCTATAACCCCCCATTCTTATACCACATCCTCCCAAAGACCCCCAACCCCAGTCCACGCAATCTCCATTCCTCCCAAGTCCCTGAAATCAAGTTCTACACATGCCCAGCACCCTGCATCTGGCTGCGATCGTCTATCTCACGTCATGCAGGGACCCGGACAAGCTTGTGCCCTGGTACCAGTACATGAGTCGTGGCGCATGACGTGCCCTAACAGCTGTCTACCTTGTTACAACGGCCTTGGTGTGGCTTGTTCCATGCAAGAGCGAGTTACGATGGCCGTTGGTGCTAGGGGTCTTGGAATCGGAGTGGTCGGGCGAGGCTGGATGCGGTCATAGCGCGGCGCGGCTGGACCCTGATTTTAGGACGGGATGTACGTCATACCTCTGAATAGCTTCATCGGCGTCATCGCTGGGTTGTGAAGATTGCGAATACGGCGCCGAGGTGTTGGATGGAATGGCAGTCGGTAGTAATACGGTACTGAACTCGTCAACACAGGGTTGCGAGCACAACGCAGCCTGAGAAAGTCTTACAGGTCTGATCGACTCGATGACGTCGCGACCGACGAGCTTGGTGGGGTTGCTTCAGAAGGTGCCCCGACTGCATTTCTCGTAAGTAATCCGAGCTGCAGTCTCAATCCTCTTCTCAGCTGGAGGTTCTTTTATCCTTCAAAGAATACAGCTGTCGATCATAAGGCCGTGCGAAAGAGCGCGTCAAAACTACGGGTAAGGCTGAGGCGACGTTAGCCGTTCCCACCAGTTCGTGCCAGCATCGACACATCGACCGATGGCATTCTATCGTCAATGGGCATTTCAATAGTCCCATCCTTCGGTGATGTTCCGCCTAACCCACCACACCAGGCTCCACTCTTGCACATGAGCGTGCCGTGACAGCCTTGTGATGTCACAAGAAATCATGAACGTCAATAAAAGTTCCACTTTGAACGGCGCTGGCTTCGACAATTACACCATCCTCACACTGAGTCAAACAACTGCACTCAATTTCTTCTCTTTAGACACTTCTTTCTAATCTCGAGATACCCACAAACCACCACACAATATGTCGTCCAACAAGGGACAGTTCGAGCAGGGTAAGCACGCACTATAGCATTCGACCACTTTCCTGTACTTACTCAGTATCACAGGCTTCCAGCCCGATGTTCAGCATCAACAGGCCCCCGGTCTCGAGTCCAAGCTGGACCCCCTGCCCAAGGTCGACGAACTCCCAACACCTGAGGGAGGAGCAGAGAAGTACAAGGCGGCCGGCAAACTCAAGGGCAAGCGCGCCATCATCACCGGTGGAGACTCCGGCATTGGCCGCTCAATTGCCGTTCTCTTCGCCATGGAGGGAGCCGACAGCTTCATCGCCTACCTCCCCGAGGAAGAGAAGGACGCACAAGACACCAAGAAGATGGTCGAGGAGAAGGGACAGAAGTGCTACACCCTAGCCGTCAACCTGAAGGAGAGGGCAAACTGCCAGAAGGTTATCGACGAGGCTGTCAAGCAGATGGGTGGCATTGATATCCTTGTCAACAACCACGCTTACCAGATGATGATCAACGACATCCACGACCTTTCTGAGTACGTATCACTTCCTCCTAGTCTGCAGCTAGCATACTAACAACACACAGGGAACAATGGCTCCACACCTTCGACACAAACATCCACCCCTTCTTCTACCTCTCCAAGTACGCCCTCCCCCACATGAAGCGCGGCGCAACCATCATCAACAACGCCTCCATCAACGCCTACGTCGGCCGCCCCGACCTCCTCGACTACACCTCCACCAAGGGCGCCATTGTCGCCTTCACCCGCGGTCTCTCAAACCAGTACGTCGGACGGGGTATCCGCGTCAACGCCGTTGCACCTGGTCCTGTTTGGACTCCTCTCATTCCTGCTACCATGAACGACGAGGCTATCAAGCAGTTCACTGCCCCGATTGGCAGGCCGAGCCAGCCTAGCGAGATTGCTACTTGCTTTGTTTTCTTGGCTAGTAATGATAGCAGCTCGATTAGTGGGCAGACTATTCACGCCAACGGTGGTACTATCGTTAACGGTTGAGCAAATGTCATTGTTGCTTTGTCCGTTACCTTGACGCGGATGATGCATCTTACGAGTTTACGAACATGTAATATAGTCAAATGAATGAATCATAATGCAATTGACCCTATTTCGCACATTATGATGCATGATAACGCCGTCTGATGTCTTTCCATTCTGACTTCACGCATGCTACTTCGGAGGTTATTCATACCCATTGCTCAACTCACTTCCGTCCAAAGTAAAATAGAGTCATTGCAATCATCGTATTGAAACATCCACTATGGTATCTGGCCCTACACAAACTCATCGCATCGCATTACAATCCCATATCAAACCACATCCTCAAGGATGATTGGCAGCCCCATCCTGCCTCGGCGTAGGCCCCTCCTTCATCTTCTTCATAATATTACTCAACTTCCCACCTCCGCCACTCCTCCCCTCAATCTGCGATCCAGACACCGGCGGCCCTTGATACGCCGTCTTGCCCGGTACCGCGGATGGCCCTGCACCCGCCTGAGAAGGGGGCGGTGCAGCTCCAATCGTAGGTCCTTGTGGCTGCGGGTGTGACACCGATGTATGATTCCCCATGTGTGGTTGTTGCTGCTGCTGCTGCTGTTGTTGGGCAGCGTATTGGCGGGCGCGTGCGGCTTCGATTTCCGATCGGCCTTTGTCGATGACGGCTTGGTTTTTGGCGTGCGCGGCAGGGTTGCGGCGGTCGAATGTGTCGTTGAAGGTTCCGCGGAGGGTTTCTCCTGCGCCCTGCGAAACAGTGTTAGTATGTGTACGCATGTCGAGTGGTAGTGTGTGAGGTGCTTACGTGGATACCCGCTGCCGCAGCTTTGAGGTTTGCCATGGTGCTCTGCTTGTTCAGATCGTGACCAGCGCGGTATGGAACCGGGCGGTCTGAATCGTTGACGTTGTTGGTGTTGATGCCAGACTGTAGGCTAGGGGGTATGCTGGATGGCTGCTGGTTCGGAATGGGCGGCATACCGGACTGCTGCTGTTGGTATGCGGGCATTTGAGGAATGCTCGATCGCCGTGGTGGTTGCTGTTGTCCTGGAACTGGAGGTACGGGTGGGATGCCATCCTGGTGTTGCTGAGAGTCCATCCGCTGGTGGTCTGGATGAATGCCATTCCCAGGCACCTGGCGTGGAACTCCTTGGGGCGGTGCTCTCGCAGGGTAGGAGAAGTTCGCACGGTTTGGGCTGCTGGGAGTGACTGGGCTGACAACTTCCTCCATCGGGTTCGGCCTCTGAACTCCAGGCGATACTGAGTCCAGTTCTACTCTATGCCGTATGTTGTTCTTCGCTGGTATGGGTGGAGACGAAGGGCCGTCAGTGTTGGAGACTTGTGGAGATAGTCTGTTGCCTGGTTGGTTGTTGCTCATAGGCACTGGCGGAGTGATGTTTTGAGGTATAGCGGACTGCGCTGAAAGACCGGGGCCTTGATGGTAGTGGTTGTCCGGCTGAGGAGGAGCCGGCTGTGGTGGGCTGGGTCCAGAAGTGTGTACGCTTTGCTCAGACGGAGCAACGCTGTCGCCGCGGGGCTGCTCTACAGTAGTAGAGCCACCTGGGCCGGTTGTAGTGGTCGTCGTCGTTGTGGTGGTCGTTGTGACGGTGACGATGTTCCCCGAACCGGCATCGCGATACGTCTCTCTGCCCACATCCTCATGGCTCGACCGGCTTTGCAGAGTTTGTTGCGTTTGCGTGGGAGGTGCAAGGGTATTCTGATGTTGCACGTTCGGTGGTGTAGTGTGAGCGGGAGGTGCTTGGTTGTTCGTAGGTGGATGGTGGTACTGTTCACCGGAGATGGGACGAGCTTGGTTCTTGAAGCTCGGATCTGCGCTGCTGCGCTCGCTACTGTAATACGCCGAGTCGGCATCCCTGCGCGCCTTTTCCTTTTCTTCCTCTCTGTGAGTAGGGTTAAGACTATCTTTCGATGCCTTCTCTTTGGAAGAGAATGGATTGGACATGCGCCATTTCGATCGCTTTTCCTTCTCAGCCGACGTCATGTTGTCTGAGCCGGACATGGGTTGCGAGGAATTGGCTGCGGGTTGACCACTCAAGCCACCGGTCATCTGCTCAAGCTCCTGTCGTTCGCGACTCTTTCGCTTTTGAAGTTTGGCTGGCTGTCGGAAACCGTCATCCATTGCCAGCAGTACACCCAAACTCGGTTGACAGGTGGGACCCGATTACGATGAGCACGTGGAGAGCAGGTCTCGGGAACGGTGGTCGAAGCTCTTGACCCTGGAATAAGAAAATACTGTATGTATATCAAACAGTATGTGAGTATGTGCAAGGTGCGTTAATGTCAGTAGTGGGGAAGCCTTTGTATCGAGGACGAAACCCGAAGCAAGGCCTCTCTGCCCGCTGAAGACCCCATGATATCATACCGTGGTTCTGTGGCGCAGGAGAAGTGTGGCACCCAATTGGGACAGCCAGCGGGTGGCGATCAGTGGAAAGACGGCTGACAGGCAGGGATCTTGACGCTCGATGATGCTTGAGGGAACCTTGCGAACGGACTATCCAAGTTTGCGGTCTAAACTATGCTTCGCGCGGTTAGCCCGTCCGGATTTCTATTCGCGTTGTGGGATGTTCGCAGTGTTCTCGAGTTGAAGCGCTTAATTGATGACTGCTTGCGAAATGAGATGCGAGGCTGTTCCATCATGGGCGATGTTGGTGCAGCGCAGCTGGGCGTGCTACCCCGCGCACTCAGCCGCAACTCAGCCCGCTTAGCTCGAGGCATCAACACATTGAAGACGCTACAATCCCATTGTTGTCACCATGTTCTTGCGACGTTCGCAGCGACCAAATCTATTGTTGCCTTTTCTTGTTATGCTTAAAATCCACAACCTGTCGTAGCTGCATGCGATCCCATCATGGCGGAGGTGGTAGGCCTGGTCGCCAGTGTCGTGCAGCTAGCTGGCGCAGGCTTGAAGCTGTCCCAAACGCTGTACCAGTATGCCGATGGTGTGGCTTCTGCCGATCGCAGAATCAAGGATATCGCGAACGAAGTCAAGCTCACAAGCTTCGTTATCCAAGAGCTGGGGACCATCTTCGAGAGAGACGAGACTGCAAACCTGATTTCAAAAAATGCAGTCAGGACTGCGAACGAGACGATCAAAGAGTGTTTTGCGGTTTTCACGGAACTTGAGCTGAAAATCAACAAGGGCAAGCCAGGGAAGATGGGTCGGCTGATGTTGCCCTTCAAAGACAACAAGATCGAACTGCTCCGAAGCCAGATCGATAAGCTCAAGAGTACGCTAGAGCTGTTGATGCAGGTGCTCATACACGCTCATCAAGTCTCATCAGAAAAGTACAACCGCGAAGCTGAAGCGAAGCACCGAGAGGAGATCAAGCAATTGCTCGAGAACAAGAAGCAAGCTACACAGAAATACGAGGAGTCGCTGAGAAACTTCAGTATCAGCGATGGCAGTACTATCGTAGATGATGGCGATCGATCGCTACAGGATAAAGACGACATTGGTCCGCCGTCTGACCTCTTCAACACTGCTGGAGCTATCGGCTCAACAATCAACCCCGATACGCTTGCCACATGCGTGGGCCATGTACGGAGCTTACTTGCAGACATTGAGACACTGCAACTGGCTTTGGCCGAACAAGTAAATGGGGATGACCACTCCGATCACCATCAGAAGGCTATCGGATCTTACTTCCTCGCTCGCTCCCATCTCGACAGTGTTCTGCTTGGCAAGTCTCAACCCAATGTCACTGATGCGAAGATCCGGCAATCGATCAGCAAGAGGCGCACCAAGACTTCCATGGTATCCGATGCGGCGGCACATGTAGAGCCTCCCCGGAAATCTCGCCCCGCTCGTTTGCGGCCCGAAAGGTCAAGAGAGGAGATGGTGCAGAGCTTCGAGCTGGAGCGAAAGCGAGAACGACATAGTGCTATTTACTACCAACCTCCTGAGAGCTTGCTCGATGATGAGAGAGCACTAGCTTTGCTGGAAAGATGGGAAGTACGTCTCGAGCGCGAAAGACGAGATGAAACGACAGCCACAACAGGCTACCGTACTGCAATGCGCCCAAATAGCGACGACATATCTGTCGGCTTGTCTTCTAAGGCAGAGTATAGGTCAAGTAGTTACCGCGCGGCTTCCGCGCCTAAACTCCAAAAGACCAGCACTGGGACCGACACAGAGCCGGATGAAGCTTCAGACGGTGGACTTGTAACCGAGGTACCAGATCGAATCGATATTATACATAGAGCAGCTAGAAGGCGCTATGACCGCCTACCTGTACAGCCATCGCAGTCAGCCCGCGATGAATCCCCTTTATCGTCACACGGATATACATCTGAAGAGATAGAAAGCAGTCATTATGCATCTAGTGAACTCAATCAAGAGGCCGAACGACGTTCCAAGAAGGACAAGAACAAGAACGAACGGCTGGAAACAGGAGAACGGAGGAGGCGCCCGCGTCGCTTTCGAACAACAGCAGAATCCCTATCCGTTGGACGTCCACCCTTTAGTCAGGTCGCCCCGTTCGCAGGCTCACAAGACCCATGGAATTTGCGCAACGACGAAATTGCACCTCCTATCGACCGAGCTGAAACGAAAGCTAAAGAAGAAGAGAGAGCGGAAAGAAGCGAGAGAAGGCTAGAAGAAGCGAGAAAGAGAATCAGAGAAGTGAAGAAGAGGATGAGAGAAGAAGAACAACAAAGACAAGAGCAAGAGAAGCAAAAACGGTCGGACACGGATTCAAGTTCGACTCTTACTAGTGGTAAAGTACCCCACCGACAACGCGCGTCTTCGGCGGCATCGAGGACATGCACACCTGATCGCATCGAAGACATCCCAGAGTCAGCAGGCCCAAGAGGTCGCATCGGCGCAGCTACCAGACACCATGAACGGTCACGCTCCCGCTCCCGTGTCCTGGTCCGCGTTAGTTCTGGAGTCTGGCAGTTCCAGCACAAACCAGCAGAAGACGGTAGCGACAAGCAAGAAGAGGGTGTGGATCACGAGTCGGGGCTCAAGCAAGATGAGGAGGGGGCAAAAAAGGAACGAATGATGAAAGCGGCCTTAGGAGGTGTTATGGCCTACCAAACCGGCCACCGCAAGCTATCACCTTCTCGCTCCCCTCGTCCCCGCCCCCCTCGTTCCCGCTCTCCTCAAAACGACCGAAGCTATGATAGCGACTCTAGCAGCTATGTTAGTCCAAGCGAAAAGATCGAGCGTGAGCAAGAAAGAGATGGGATCAATCAGCTAAAAGAGGAACCGCGGCGTGATCAGGTGTTGGAGGGAGAGAACACGGGGGCGGAAAGGGAACGACGAAGGGGACCACTCTGTCTTCTCCCTTGTGCAGTTGACACAAGCAGGAAAGGCGAGCAACGTAAGTGTCATCCGAAGCTTGCAGAAACATTCATTCCTCTCCCCGAGAGTCCAATAGCAGTATTACTAATGCCTATACCCCCAGTGAAAAAACCACTCTCCGCCTTTGAACGGCGTCTTGAACGGCTGAGACAAGAGAGCACAGAGGAGTACTCATCCCCAAGTAGTCAAGAAGACACTTCAGAAAGTGAAGAGGCCGAGGATTCATGGAGTTACATTGACGAGACGGGAGAGGTGGGTCGAGTGGACGAGGTGGATGAGTTACTGAAGGAATGGACTACTCTGCTTGGATGATGTGTGGTTTTGGTATAGCAATTAATAAGCCTCACATAAGTGACATCAGCACCCCTACGTGGAAATAAGTGTAAAGGCTCATGTGTACTTAATACATCTACAGTAAGCATCACATCTGATCCGCGATGATGAAGGCAAGCGCACAGTATAACCCAAAGCGCGCACTACAACGACCACCTCCCACCTCCCACCAGCCTTACAACCATCACTCCACATCAACAATTCATCAAATCAAGCCATGAATTCATACTCTCTAAACCCATCCCTACCCCCTCCGGCCATCGCAAACCCAACCCAACATCCCCCGACATCGCCCTCCGATATCGAACCACACCGAACAAGGTAACCCATCCCACCTCACACTTTTCCGTCCCGTGCCTATCCAACGCCGACATCTTTTCCGGTGCGACGCGACACTTACGCGCCGGCATCTCATCACGGTTCGCCGTGACAATTTTTCAAGACATACCCGTACCACCGCACCCCCATCGCCCACTCACCCCCATCCCGGCGCACCATGACAAAACGCATAACATAACCCACACGCCGCGGGCTTGACTTGATTTACCCTAACCAAAACCAGTAATAAGCTATCGCGCCCCAACTCGCATTTGGCGTGTGGGCTTTTTTGCTTCTTCGACGTGGACGAGAGCAGTGGGGTCGGGATCTTGCTTTGCTTTTTTGGCGGGGCAGGGGCGCGTGGAGGGGCGCCACGCGACTGCCACCTGCTTGAGCCCTGACTAGGAAACTTTGAGCATTGCTTTTGTTGTGGTGAGTAATTTTCTGGAGGCTTGGTGACGTGATGGCGTGATGAATATTCCGAGTCGTGAAATGCTGAGGGTTGGGTTGGGATCGTGTCTAATTTAGATAGCTGTGTCTATTGAGTCTTTCGGGTGCGGCTTTCTCCGGTGTATGGTTGAAAGACGATGCGTGTGGATAACTGATTTGCCTGGTGGGCAGGTACAAGTAAATCTTGATGCGAAGAATGTGGTGAAGTATTTCATGATTCTATTTCATGTAAGGTATCTATATACAAGTGGAAGCATCCAGCTTCCGAACGCCAAGGACAATGAAGGTATCGTAAGGTATCATATACAAAAGGCAATCCGCTCAGCGGCGAAATGTTCACCACCAGTCACCCTGGTCGTGCATGGCGGCAGCAACCTTGCGGAAACCGGCGACGTTGGCACCACCGACGAGGGATGGGAACTCGCCCTCGGCAGGAGTGAAGTACTCCTTGGCAGTACCCAGGCAGTTCTCGAAGCAGTCCTTCATGATGCCCTTGAGCTTCTCGTCGACCTCCTCGGCGGTCCATGACAGACGCTGGGAGTTTTGGGCCATCTCGAGACCAGAGACGGCGACACCACCGGCGTTGGCAGCCTTTCCGGGGGCGTACCAGATAGCCTCGCCCTTCTTCTCGCGACGGTGAGCCTCGAAGACCTCAATGGCCTCCTGTGTGCAGCCCATGTTGGAACCCTCAGCAATGAACTTGGCACCAGACTCGATGAGAGCCTTGGCCTCGTCCTCGGAGACTTCGTTCTGGGTCGCTGAAGGAAGAGCAACGTCGACCTTCTTGACCTCCTTCCATGGGCGGGCACCCTCAATGTACTTGAAGCTGTGGTTCTCCAGAGCAGTAAGAGCCTTGCGCTCCAACTTGAGGGCGGCGATCTGGTTGATGATCTCCGGGGTGAAGCCCTTGTCGTCTTCGGCGATCAAAGCGCCCTTGCTGTCGCTGAGGGAGATGACGGTTCCGCCGAGCTCGATGATCTTGAGCGCAGCGTACTGGGCAACGTTTCCGGAACCAGAGAGGGCGACGCGCTTGCCCTTGAACGACTCCTTTCCGCCTGAGGCGTAGTTGATCATGTGGTCAACGTAGTATACGAGACCGTAACCGGTGGCCTCGGGACGGATCAAGCTGCCTCCCCATGAGCCACCCTTGCCGGTGAGGACGCCCTCCCAGCGGTTGCGCTCTGCTCGGTATGCGCCGAAGAGGTAACCGATCTCGCGACCACCGACGCCGATGTCGCCCGCAGGTACGTCTGTGTCAGCACCTGTGATTTACGTAAGTGAAATGTTCCTAGTGGAGAACCAAGGAAACAGCGCGAACGTCGCCGACGGGGCAGTGCCAGACAGACGGGAAGATAAGGCAAGATAGACCCGCCAGATCTCGTTGGTCTGCTGTCGGAAGAGCATGCGAACCGTTGAAGGTGCATGCCCCACTGAGGCTGAAGTGAAGGGACGCGCTAGGGTCAAGACATACCGATGTGCTTGTTGAGCTCCCTCATGAAGGCAACGCAGAACTTGCGGATCTCGTTGTCAGACTTGCCCTTGGGGTCGAAGTCGCAACCTCCCTTGCCACCGCCCATGTTGACTGTGGTGTGTTAGCTTGTTGTTTGTATGCGCTCGAGTCGGGTATGACGTACGGCCGGTGAGAGCATTCTTGAAGATCTGCTCGAAACCCAAGAACTTGAGGATAGACAGGTTGACGGTAGGGTGGAAGCGGAGACCGCCCTTGTAGGGACCGAGGGCAGAGTTGAATTGCACGCGGTATCCCTTCTGGACCTGGCACTCGCCCTTGTCGTTCTCCCAGACAACGCGGAACTGGATGATGCGCTCGGGGACGGAGACGACCTCGAGGGCCTTCTTGTATTCGGGGTTCTTGGAGAAGAGGGAGGAGGCCTCGAGGGTGGAGACGAGCTCTGCGAGGTGTTAGATGTGTTGCAGATGTGGAGGCGCAAACGTACCCTTCCTGGCTTGCTCAAACTCGGGCTCAGACATTGTGATGTTGGGTATCTTGGGGACTGAAAAAAGATGTGAGGTGATGGGAATCGACACAGTCAAGAGTCACAAGTTGATGGAGAGAAGAGGCAGGAGAGAGTGTCTGGTATATATAATTGCAGTCGGCGCAAGCTAGATAGTTCGCTGGGCCTGCGGTGACGGTGCGCGGAACAAAGTCGCACTCGATTTGAGTACGTCAGAGGCCGGGAGATTGGGGTGCTGGACCCGTCTCAGTGGTCAATGGGGTCTACTGCACGCCATGTTGATGCAAACCATGGTGTGCACTTTTTCTACTGATAAGGATCTGGCCAATGGGCGGGCGAGGACAAGTATCGCGGGGTGGTTGCACGTGAAGTAGCGGGGGCTCCGGCCACTCGAGGCTCGTGGCGGGCGGTAATAGTCGAGAGTCAAACCATGGGAGGCGACGCGATGCCGACGTCGGCGGGCGCGCGAGGGAGTCTTGTTACGTTGGGCTTTCGCCTAGTGGCGTGTCAGGGTAAAGAGAACAGGCAGGGAGAGTGGGAGAAGCCGGAATGTGGGCGTGAGCTTGGGCCACGCAAGATTGTCTTGGCGAAGCGACCTCCTGCTGCGGAGATGCCGGACATCCTCACCTTTGTATGCGACGTCGTCCCACAAGCTTAAAACCTATGCAACATGGAAATAGCTTCTTTGCGACATTGCACTGCCTCAATCTCTACCTTCGCGCCCTCCGTCATGCGCATATGCGCGCATTGCAGTCATTGAGCTGCAAGATCATGACTTGAGACTCGATGGCGGCGTCACAATATCGACATAGTCATGCATCGGAAATAGGCATAGATGAGCATGCTCCATTTCTACATTTGGTGGCATGTGAAAGAGATCGATTTCCCACCCTCCACGCGCTGACCCCCACGCCCGACATCTCTGCCTCCACACTGAGCACACTCACGGGCAATCGGTAGGGTCCCAATCTGGAGAAAAGTTGCACGTCAGCAAAAGTAGCGGGATGAGAGTATTGACATGACTGCGTATGCCAGGCACCCAAAGGAACTCACCGGTCACTAGGTATTCGTCCAACGCATCCATTGCCTCCATGTCGCCATCCTCGATTACGAAGCCTCCAATCTCTGAGTTCTCGACGATTCGCTCCTTCTTCACACTCTTGGGTAGTGGCACATAGCCGTGTTGCAGACTCCAGCGGACCAAGAGCTGGCCCGGAGTGCACGAATATTTCTTGGACAGGGCCACAATCTTCGGATGCGTCATGCGCAAGGCTCGGGCCAGCGGCGCGTATGCCTCTACGACAATGTTGTGCTGCTGGCAAAAGGAAGTAATGTCTTTCCGCCTAGTGTACAAAGTTAGCATAGTTACGCATGCAATGCAGTCCCTTCGGGGAACTCACGTATTGAACGGGTGAACTTCGATCTGGTTAACCGCTGGAGGAATCCGGGGGTTGGAGTCCAGTAGCTCTTGCAACTAGCATATCGTCAGTGATTGACCTCGGCGACGTTGAATGTTCGGTGACGCTCATGACTATACTGAAGAGTCCAATGAGGGCGACTACAACGACTTTCCTATCCTGGGTGTATGTTCGCACTAGAGACTGAATACGGGCCTTCCCGAGACAACTAAAGCAAAAAGACGGGAACCAGGGTCTACTTACATGTTTGACACCATAATTGGAGACGCCTCCAATCTTGACTTCGCCGTCGTTGATTGCGTCTTCCACCGCTCGCCAGCTGTCGAGACGCGCCTGCTTGCCGCCATATGGGGAGTGCAACAGAAATAGGTCAATGTAGCCAAGACCCGCCTCCTTGACAGATTTCTTGATGGCTTTGCGGGCCGTTTCGTATGCGGAGTTGGACGCTAGCTTCGAAGTGAAGTGGATGTCTTCGCGCCTGAGCGACTCGGTGTTTGCATCACTTGCGAGAAAGTCTGAGATGGCTTTGCCAGACTCCTTCTCGTTATGGTACATCTGAGCTGAATCGACTCTGTGTACGCGTCATCCGTCAGCCGTGTGAGAGCTTGGTCTCGTGATGCCACTCACCCTCGATAGCCAGCCTGCCGTGGTGAGCATTGTGGTTACTGATCATCAGGAACGGCAAAAGCATACCTCGAGCGCCCACCGGACGGCTTGATAAGTCTCCTTCCCGGACGTCAGATAGACGCCGAGATGAATCGTTGGCATGGACAGGCCATTGGAAAGCTGCCACTGTCAGACACGGGCGGCGTCTAGTACGGTCTCGTCGACGCACCTTAGTCCGCGACGCCAATGAGAAGGAAGATTGTGCCATATTCACTGCTGGGGGCTATGTTGTGCATACACGAAAGTAGATGTGCGATGCTGCAAGAGGCAAGCCACGATGGCAGCAGAGTTAAATGGAGTTCCTCGGCGAACTGGTTACATCATGGCCCGTCACGACCGGGGTGTGAACTCTATTGTGGAGGCCTCATCGTGACGACTCTGTCACGACTCTGACATGTCATGGCTGCGCAGCGTCCCTGGTCTGTTGCAGTTGGAGTAAGAATGCGTTGCACGCACAAAGCAAAACGGGCCATATGCGCCCGCAGGCTATAGGCTTCACCAACCCGTGGACTGCATCGTGCGGACGGTGCCTGCCGATTGGGGCGCCTGCCCCCACCTCCCGAGGTCCTCAACCTCAGCACCGTGCGCCTAGGACCCGACCATCCAGTGCCCTGTCGTACAGTGTCTCGTTAGCCACGTAGGACAGCCTCACCGAGGGCGTGCGGGCTTGGATGATCGGCGAGGAACTATTCTTCTTCGGCGGGATGCGCTCCTGAAGTTGGAGGGAACAGGCAGCGCATTGGTGGGCGCCCTGGTATTGTGGCTCTCCGGACACACGAACATCCGTTTTACATGCCATGGCAGTGGATCCCCTACCGCGATTGACGAGATCTATCGCCCGGGCGTTTGGAGGCGCCTGTCACTCTAGTCATTCTAGCCAGAGTCAAGCATGACAAAAACAACCCGGCGCGCTCAGAAGGGCTCAGTCGCAAAGCCGGCTCGATGCGCCTGCATCTCGGCCGCTCCGTCGGTCTCTGCCACTGTCTTGGGTGACCAAACGGCCATCATCGCGCAGCATATGTACAAGGAACAGCAAAAAGGGGGGCAGCGGTCGGCTGAAGCGCACGCAAGCAGCCAACGGCAGCGCAGGTAGCGCAGTCTTGACGACACTTGGTTTACTACAGAGTTTTTGAATAGACCGCCTCGGGAGCCGTCGTCCTGGCCGCCGACCCGCGAACTGCGCAGCCACCATCGCCGGCTCCACCAGGCCCTGTGCCGCCGCTCATTGGCCCGACTCGCTGAACTTACTGGTCAATGATCAAGGGAGCCGGAGTGGCTCGACTTGATCATCGCCAGGATTATTCCAAAATCGCAGCCATCTCACGGAGGCTTCAATAATTCCTCGCAAGGTTAGCAGGGCGGCGTCGACCGAAGCCACTCCATATAAGCAACTTCTCAAGCCTCAGCATCCGCATACTCAACCTGCCCATGTATAAAGCATCTTATCGCGCCCGCTATCCATGCTACCAGAACACGAAGCAACAGACACTGCAGCAGCCTTGAACTAGCCGCCCACTCGGTCGTTTCGTCATTGATCCTGTTCCTCGTCTCATCCTGCCTGAACCCTGAGACCCTGGCTCCCTTGGGCTGCTGTTAGCCAGACCCGACATTCTGCACCGGCACGTTTATTTGACATTGGTTGCACCCAGCTCGGTAAGTTGCGAGCTGCGAGTACACAAACTGGTGTTCTCCTCCAGCCAACCAACCAGCTGTGCTGACTTTTGCCGTTCCTGCAGTAGCTTGCGCTTCCCTCATCATGACAAGTTTACCCGGCTTCACCACAAACTTCCCCGCGGGATACCCGACCTTTCAGACTCGCGGTGGAACTTTTGCGCGCGGCAGCACCTCATCAGGAGGCTCGCCATCTGTGCCAACCGCCTCTTCTGAGCCACACTTCGACATCTTCGACTGGCACCCTGCATACCAAAGCTGCCAGCGCTATTTCCTCGACCATGCGCAGCACGACAACGGTGTGCAGGCAGTGTGCGCCCTCATCAACATCTGCCTGCCTTTCCAATGGACGCAGACTCCCCTCATGAACGCCTCAGGACCGCTGCCTCACTCGTCGGGCGCTGCTGCATACAACATGCCCTGGCCCCGCCAAGGTCCCGTCACCAACTCGCGAGGCCAGCCGGCGCCGGCATGGGTCTCCCTTGTGCCCTTCATTCGACGTCTTGTAATCACAGGAATGGACAGTCCAGGCATCATGCACGGCTTCTTCGGCGAGGACTGGAGGAAGGGAGTCGGCCCAATGCACGAGTGTGAGCGTCGCAACTACCTTTTCGCAGCCAAGAGCGTGGGTTGGGCAAAGGTCAAGTGCCAGTACGACATGTCACCGCACGAGTCAGTGCCTTTCCTGAAGCCATTGCAGGAGGTTCAGCTGGCCGAGATTGAGGGGGCCGAAAAGACGTGGAGTCAGTGGCTCGCCATGGAGGACTGGATGGTGGGCCCACGGGCACCGGATGCGGACGACCAGCTACAGGATGCCCGTCGCCGTCCATCTTGAAGCTTGGCGTGGAGTATGGCGTTGTCTAGTGCACGATGGTCGTCAGCACCACGACCGTAATTTGCGTCGCACCAAGACGTGTGTGTGGATTTATTTGGGTTGGCGAGGGCTGGGGTTAGCGGTCAGTCTTCAGCGATCAGCACTTCGCGCCATCGCTGCGCAATGGTTGTACATGTCCCACGACATGGGCGAGAACGCTTCTATCATCCGGTAGTAATGTAACTATTTCAATACCATTAATGTTACGCATTAAACTTGACGGCTTGTGCTCCCCGCACCATCACTTCTTTACCTCTGATTTAAGACACGAAATTCCGGTCATAAAATATAATTTGGAGAGCTTGGCGTCTTCTTCCTTTTGCTGACCAGACGCGTTGGAAGGTTCGCGGGTTCTGTGCGCTGTCCGCATCCATGGATCGTGCCTGCCAAGGAACATCGGCCAACCTCAGCTAAGCACGACCACCTTTGTTCCTCGCCGGACCACATCCCATATTCTTTTTCTTGTCAACTACCAGCCTAACGTCCAGGGCGCATTTTTTAAACTACATGGGCTATGGAGTCCATGGTCAAGGAATGGACGACTTTCTTGGACAGGTGCCTCGAGCGCCGCGTTCAGCCTGACCTGTTCGCTGCAGCCGTCGCGCAGCTGCACGCGAAGTCTCCACTGCCTGGCCGGAAGCTTGCTGCCCTTGTACTTCGACCACGCGTTGCAGGATCCAGCAATGTCGACCCGCGCTCCATCGTCTTCCTCGAGCAGCTACTAGCGCTGAAGAAGGTCGATGCTTCTGATGTTCTAACGCTGACGTTCTTGTACTCCAAGGACCGGCTTCCGGTCAAGACAGGCGACGAGAAACCGACCAAGGAGCCGCAATGGGACAATCCACCAGAACTCGAGGAAATTGTCTTCCACCGCTTACACAAGGCTTTTGCTGCCGAAGAACGGCCTATCAACAATACCGAAGGCTTGCGCACGCTTATTGTTGTAACAAGATGGATGCAGGCGATGGTCACTTCACATACCAGTGATACCATGATCCAGGCCATGGCTGGTATCCAACAACCACAACAACACTCTATCAATGTCCGGGAAGGGCTTGCTATGCTTGTGATTGGCATAATAGAAAACCCAAGAATTCTGCGGATACTGAATAATCCCAAGGGGAAAGGTAAGCGCACCTCTAATTGTTCGGATGTTTGTACGATGTTTTCGAACGGGTTTGCTCAGACTTGATAAGTACATTACTCACATGCATTAGATATACGCAAACATTTTATCCAGTCATTCTCTTCATTTATCCCATTTCTCTCCAACAACTCGGGCGGATCGCATCAGTCGTTGCAACTAGCTGAAAGACTTGAGCTCTCGCAAAAACGACACGACTTTTATGAGAAGCTTCCCAACATGAACGGAGAGGGAAACAGGAGCGCCGGTCTTGAAGTCGCTGCACTCCAGCTCGATGCCGTAATGGAGCTTCCACAGGTGAATACACGAGCTGGTCTCTACGTATTTTTGAACGCCTTGGTATGTCTTTCAGCCGACGATGTGGCACGTTGCTAACGTTTCAAGCTTGTCGCGCGGCCTCTTACCGATGATTTCATCATTATCAATTATCTCCATTCGCGATACAAGGTAGGCCTAAATCATTTGATCGCGAAGATATGCTGATCTCCGTCAGTTGGAAGCACAAAACATGGCCACAGACTTGATCACCGCCGCTTTCGATGTCCTTGCCAACGCCATGTATCGCAGTGAACCAACGCAGACAATGTTTCCCCTGAAATCATTCCTGATCAACAAAGTACCCCTACTCCTCGTGCAAATCTCCGGGTCGATATTTCCGATGACACCAGAAATGTGCATCACACAAGCACTCAGTCACGTGGATCCCCATGCTTTCCCATCTTTCTCGCAGGGGTTCGACGATATCATGGGAAGTAACAACTCTCTCTCTGATGTCAAGCAAGACTTCCTTAATGCCTGCGCGCTCCATGGGCTCATTCCGGCGGGTGCTGTAGAGCGGTTGCTTGGCGAAGCTCCTATGCAAGGTCCTCCATCGAAGAGATACGAGAGGAAGGAGTTACTAAGCCAGTGCAAGTCGAACTTCGACAAAGTCAGCGCATACATTGACGAGCTTGAGAGCCTGGATGGAAATGCCGGGGCCATCGTCGCTGCTGTTACAGATGTAAGACATGATACAAAGAATTGCGAGAGGTACCTGCTAATGTGATGACAGTTCATAGCACATCTCTGCGAAACACAAACAACCATGTACTTGAAGCAACTGTCCTCGTTGATATTCAGAAAACCGCAGGCAATGGATGTCATGCTTCAATTCACTTCGCCGGCAAGCATCCTGCGGCCACTATGCCAATTCCTCGATGAGTGGCACTATGACAGCGATCAAGGTTAGCTTTGTTAATACTGTGGAGATTCGTGACTGACGAATGTAGGTGAATACCAACCAGTCTACGACGAGTTTGGCGCAATACTTGTCCTCGTTATGGCCTTCGTATATCGCTATGATCTTACATATCACGACATTGGCATCCGGCATGATACATTTATCGCCAAGCTTATGAAACGCGGCCACCATAGCATGCTCCCCGATGAGTTGAGCGAAGAACAGGGTAAGCATCTCGGCAACTGGCTTAAAGGGCTCTATGATGCCGACAAGGAAGGGCTGAGCAATGAGGTGTTTGCATCCTGTCGGCCACAGGATTTCTATCTTATAGTTCCGACACTTTTCAGGCAGACTGTTGTGGCATGCTCGACAGGCGTACTGTCATTTGAGTCTGTCAAAGGTGGCTTGGAATGTAAGTTTACCCCAATTTTCTCGTCCAATTAAACATCACTGACTCGATTACAGATCTCGGAGAGACTTTCTTACTACCATCTTTGATTGAAGGTCTCACGTGGATGGCCTCCTACGCGCTTCTTCAAACACACAAGGACCTCGACTCAATGATACGCATTTTCAATGAAATCATACTGACGACTCCTTCTTCTGGCGATGCACAAGCTATGCACTCGACTATAATAGCGATGGTGGCTAGTCGCCTGGAGAAATGCTTCCGTACGCTACAGCGGCGCGAGCCAAATCGCACGACACTTGAGCCTTTCATCCAGGCAATCAAGGTGCATGCACACTACGAACGATCCATATACGCTAGCTTGAAGGAAGTGGACCAGTGGACGAATGCGCCGAACAGCACTTTGAACACGTCTCTACGGCATACAATACAACAACTATGTCAATGGGCTTCGACTTCTTCGTTACAGCCAAACCCACCTGGCTATACACATCGCCAAATCTACGCATCGCTGAAGATGCTTGGTGCCACCAGGACGCTACGCGCAATCATAGACGAGGTAAAAGCGCAGACAGATGCTGGCAACGGAGCCGCTGCGCTCGACATTGGCGTGTCTATCATCTGCGCCCCGACCGTTGAAGACAGTCCGATCACGATAGACTGGATGGGAAGCTCGATATCAGCGCCGCCTCAACAACGGACCCGCATGAATCTCCGCGAGATGCTCAAGCAGGAATTCGAGAGCGCAGCCAATCTGGTCGCGACAGATCCTCTGACTGCGGAGACAATAGTGCGTCTACACCGCCGAGTGGAAGCGCACTTTGCCTCCCTCAGCGAAGCCGGACTCCAAGCACCACCCATCAACATACCGAGCGTCAACATCGGGGACATGCAATCGCAAACTATATCCGATGATCTGAACCGAGCTATCGACGATGCAGCAGCCGCGACGGTGGTAGACGACATTTCCAACATGGACAACAAAGCGCTGCAACGCAGTATGGACGAACTCACTGGTGCCGAAGGCTTGGACCTGTCAAACATCGGCATGGGCAATGGCGATGCAGGCGCAGGCGATATGAGCACAGACCTGGGCAGCTTGCCTGGTATGGATCTGGGTGACATGGGTAGTATGGGCATGGATATGGATATGGACATGAACATGGATATGGGTGGTGGCGGAGGAGATGACGACTGGGGTCTGGATTTCGATAACATGTAGAGTGTGTTTGAGGAGGCTTCTTCTTCATGGAGTCTATACCTAGGCACGTAGACTGTTTTTTCAAAGGCAATGCTTGGGATAAGCGCTTAGGATGGATTGGATCGGGATGGTTGGTTATGAGGAATTATTACTATCGTATTTCAAGGCGTCTTGCAATCAAGTACAACACAAGCGGAGCAAACATCAGCCGGCTACATGCCATGTAAATGTATGACTGTACCGAGGTAACCCTACTAACCCCAAACCGGCAAGAAGTACGATAGAACCGGGGGGCGGGGGTGGTCCTTACCTGCATAAACTCCGGAAGCCATTGCCCCACCATGTTTCCCGACGGTGACGACGGTGCCGACAGTCAGCTTGTAAATAACACACGAATGAACTCTCGTTACTCTATCCCAAGCCTTTCCTACTAAAAGCTTATCTCTTCTCTCCTATTCCAAATCTACAACAGGAACCACATTGATCGCATTCTACATCTAACCCGGCCTACCTACCCAACGCACACAGAGCAGGCAGCAAAGCAGCAAACATGCCGTACGATCTCAAAGGCAGGAATGTACTTATTACAGGTGGATCAGCGTATGTATTTCATGTTTTCCTGAATGCCTTCCTCCATACATTTCACTCTATACCCGCTATGTCGTCTTCCAAATCTCAACAATGACTAACGCCCCCCATTCAGCGGCCTCGGCGAACTCCTCAGCACGACGTTTGCGAGTGAAGGCGCCAATGTGGCGATTAACTACTTCAACCGGATTGAGCCGGCGCAGAAGGTGCAGAAGGCGTGTCAGGAGCATGGGGTTAAGGCTGTTGTTGTTAAAGCGGTGAGTTGTGGTGGGTTTGGTAGTTGAGAGTTGGGAAGAAGATATACTGATACTTGCGACAGGATATGACATCCACGGATGAGGCAAGGAGAGCTGTTAAGGAGACGATTGAACAGCTGGGAGGGCTGGATATTATCATCGCCAACGCAGGCTGGACACGCTTCTCCGAGTGGAAAGATCTCGACTCCATGAGCGATGAAGAATGGGATAAGTGCTGGAATGCAAATGTCAAAGTACCCAAGGCATTACTGTCTGAGGCGAGGAGCACGTTTGACGCGAATCCTGAGGGTGGACTGATGATTACTACGGGCAGTATTGCGGTACGTTCACATTTACTCTCGTCATGACACAACTACGGACTATGGGTTTAACAATTGAGTACTGACACCGAATCACAGGGTGTCAGCCAAGGCGGCTCCAGCATGCCCTACGCCGTCACCAAAGCAGCCCAGCTCCAACTCGTCAAATGCCTTGCCGCCACCGTCGGACCCAAGATCCGCGTCAACACCGTTCTCCCAGGCTTACTGTTGACCGAATGGGTAAGGACGCAGAAGCTATCCTGACGTGCCATGCTGACAGTTACGTAGGGCCTCAAGTATAGCAAAGAGAAGATTGAGCAGCTCACGAATGCTGCAGCACTGAAGCATGTGACTTTCATGGATGACTGTGCTTCGGCGTATGTCATGTTGGCGAAGAATACTAGCATGACTGGTATGCGCATTCAGGTTGACGCTGGACTCAACATCCAGGGCGCGTAAGAGGATGGTATAGAAGTATCTACATTCGAAGACTTCAGTCTAGCAATTAATTCGATAACTGTCATTGCCTGTAAAAATGTCACTCACTGCCTCGGTGACGATTGGTCGCGGAAAAGCAAGACCTCGGCCGTGGGTGTTGGGTGACCCCACGGCGCTAATTCAAGCTGCAGGGCACCTCACGTCAATTCCCCGCGCCCGAACCTCCGCATCTCCGCAGAGCTGCTGGAAATCAACACCATGACTCCCCGAACTTCATAGCCCGAAACACGCCATGTCTTCTTCTTTGAGTACCGTTTCCAGAGCAGCCCCGCGTCTTCCGCGACGGTGTATGCGATGCGGCGAGCGGAGCGCCAATTGTCAGCCTGCACGGCGGCGCTGGATGAGCAGCGTGCGAGATGCGCCCGCTACGAGACCCAAGACTGCCATCTTCTTCCCTGGTACTTCTTTCTAGCGATCAGATATCCAGATACTACAGCATGCTAAAAAATATCAGGCCAAGGCGTACAACGCGTGGGAATGTGCACACCGTGGCTGCAGGCCTTCCCCAAGACGGCGAAACCCATCCTCGAGGAGATTGACGAGACCCTTCAACTCCCCCTTACCAAGACAATCGAGTCCGGCACGAATGCTGAACTCACACGAACCGAGAACGCGCAACCGGCCATTATGGCAACCTCGATCCTGATACTGCGGATACTGGAGAAGGAGTTTGGCTTCAAGACCAGCGAACGCGTCGACATCACACTGGGCCACTCGCTCGGCGAATTCGCAGCCCTCGTAGCAGGCGGCTACCTCACCTTCCACGACGCCCTAAAGATGGTGCGGCGACGAGCCGAAGTAATGAGCAAATGCAGCCAAGAAGCCGTCGCAGAAGAAGGCGGTGAGTTCGGCATGGTAGCCCTCGTCTGCGAATCCGAAGAGCACATGCAATCTCTCATCAACGGCATCCACGAGTTCCTCGCCCTGGGCTCCAAAGCCGATTCCCACGACCACCTCCCCGCCGTCCAGCAAGTCGCCATCGCAAACCTCAACTCGAAGAACCAGATTGTTCTGAGTGGTAGTATAACACGCATCAGCACGCTCCTGACCAACCTGCGCCAATTCGGCGGCCATGACCCGAGACATGTACGACTTAAATCTGACGCTCCCTTCCACAGCCTCCTTATGAAGCCTGCGGCCGAAACAATGAAACGCATCCTGCATAAGCCCACGGAAGACGGCCGCGATATCATAACATGGCCGGGCATCATGCCCTGCATCTCAAACGTGTCCGGCAAGCCCTTCCAAGACAAAGAGCAACTGAAAGACTTGCTAGCACGCAGTTGTGTGGAGACGGTGCAGTGGTGGAAGAGCGTCAAGTATCTGCACGAGCAAGAGAAGATTATGCGGTATGTGGGTATTGGGCCCGGGAAAGTGGGTAGGAATCTGGTGGGGAAGGAGGTGGGCATGAAGGGGGCTGTTAAGGGCGGTGGGGTTTGGGGGATTACGAGTCCGAAGGAGATGGAGGAGGTGGTTAGGGCGTTGGATGATACGGAGGATGTGGATGGGATTGAGGTGGAGTGATTAGTGGAGGTAGGATGGAGATGATCATACGATGAAGAAGGGAATTCTCGAGGTTAAAGGCATACAGATATACCCCAGTGTAGCGACTTTAGTGTTAATGGAACGTGTTCGTCAAGGTGCGTTGTTCGTTCGGCTCTGATTTGCCAAGGCATGTCTTGCTGAGTATGCCCCTTCGTCGCTCCTTCCTCGACTGATCACTCACATTCTACAAGGTTTCTTCCACCCACAACACCGCAACCTCTCACCACACACACGCACATATTACCTTTGCATACTTTATGCAATCACACAGCTATCGCAGACATATCGCATACCAAAGTACGATCTCGATGACCAACCCTGGCCCCAGTTTGAGTCAGAGGCATACTCTATTCGCGTTGATTACTTTCGCAAGATCAGTCAACATACGTCAACGAACTTCCCGGTCACGGATTTTTATACAAATACTATAGCTAATCGGAGCCACGCAATATCAACAACAGAAGCAATGCCCAGCATCCTCTATCACATGATGGCGAAAGCGATGGTCAAGAAGCGTGTTGTAGCTAATCGGGCCGCTCAGCATTGCCGATTTACGCATTGTGTCAGATCCGGAGATCCCTGGTCGTTCATCAACACCTCCTCCTCTGCGACCTCAGAGTTTAGCGCGACGCTAGTTGGTGTGATTAGGACTGTATCAGCTCCGGTATCTGCCCGACCATCTCTCCTCTTGGAATATGAATATCCTTCTCACACTGCCCGGTGTATCGGTCGATTCATTCGCACTTTCAGCACTACCTTCGCCGCATTCTCCGGCAATTCCTAGCCAACATGCTACCCGATAACATCTACAACAGCTATCTCGAATACAAAAAAGACACCAATACGTACATCAACTGGCTCTGCAGCACTGCAACACGTATAGGCTTTCCGCCGCCCTACAAGTCATCGTTAGAATCAACGGCATCGAAATCAAAGGCCCGGAAAAAGAAGAAGCTAGAAGAACGAGAAGTCAGTATTAGCGGACTAGTTGCATGTGCGGAGGCAATTGCCGAGAAACCGCCCAAGCAATTCGTCGTTCCTGTATACGCTGCTCAGTGCGCGGCACGGGCCATCAGACAACGGAAGAAGTCGTCGCAATGGCATGAGAGTCAGGTTGATGGGTTGGATGGAATTGAGAAGGTAGTGAAAGAAGAAGACAACGCCGGTCATACCTTCTTCACGGAGACGCTGGAGCATACGCTCAATATCTTACGACCGTTTATACGCAACGCGCAACACGTCAAAAAGAATGGTGACAAGGCTCAACGACATGATTCTATGGATGATATTACCAATCGCTTCAGTAAGCTTGAGATTGAGGAGTTGGCTGATCAGGAAGTCGAGAGTGCTGCGATTGCGGTCGCCGAGAAACCGCCAACGTCACGGATCACATACTTTGTCGATAACAGCGAAGAAGAGCGCCAAGTCGCTATGGAATCCCTTCTACATGATCACTTACGCATCAAACAGGCCATCCGCAAGGCATGGCAAGAATATTTGTTAGACAGAAAGCTTGACCTCATCACGACCGCGGCAACAACTCAAGCCGGGATGCAGATGCTCCGGAGTCTCGTTCACGAGTTCACGATGCAGTTCCCCGAACTTAACTCGATGGAGACATTCTGCTTGAACTATCTTCGCAAACCCAAAGACATCGAATCATGTTCCGACGAAGCTACCCCGGTAGATACGAGCGACGCGGATGTCCAGATCCCAAAACACGTGGCCGAATTCAGCTGCCTAGGCACTTTTACCACTATCCGGCATGCGTTGAGTCGTTTCTTCCAGGCTGCAAACTACGCCGGTCGATACCGAGCAATGGAGCTTGTGCTCCAGATCCGCTATTTTGACGACTACAAAACGGACATGCCTGCCCTTCAACCACTGGTCAACGCCCTGGAAGACATCTTAGGCATGGACGTCGAAGGAATGGGCAGCTTTGAAGATCCTCCCATTATGGACAACTTCACTCAACTCTGGCGAGAGTATCTCCGGACTTTGTATTCTGCTCCCAAACCGGAGGGACAAGAAAAGAGGGAACTTCCTGATCTGAGTGTGGAACTGGTCCTCTGTACGGATCTATACCTGAAGGTACAAGAGGTCGTCACACTTGCCGAGCCAAACATCATAAGAGACGACTACAAGAATAACTGGGCATACAAGAATTACTATCAGAATGACAGCGACTCTGGTCATTACCTGGAATTGTTAAAACAATACCCATTCACATCAAATCCAATCCGCAAAACGCTCACCTCTTTCTTCCGAAGCGATGCAGACACAGCAAAGATTGTAGACTGGCATACCACGGAAATGTTTTGGAGTCGACGCGCCATGATGAAAGAAAAGATAACAGGTCTCAGGATAAGTGGAAGAGAAGAATGCGTCGTTGGAGTCTTTCGTTGGGATTGGCCACGATATAACCCGTTTCTAGCTGGCCTGATAGCCTTTGTCGTCGCCCAAGCTGTTGATGAGTTCAATACGGTATTCCAGAACCACAGCGGCAGCCCGGTCGCGACGGCACATCTCTATAACTACCTACGGCAGGCTCACAGCGTGACAGCCCCATCCCCTTGCACGCCTGTGTTGACAAAGGAGTGGCCAGATATGGAAAGCTATCTCAAGATCATGGGCGACAAGAGCGTATTTGGTGGCGATCGGCCGTGGACTCTGCGACATTGTTTGCAACGTATATTTCTGGCACACGGTCGCTCCCTCGCTAGCTTCGCTCGCAATGCACACAGCGCCAACGACTGGGTAGTCAAAACCAAGACCAGACTGCAAAGCCATAACACGCCCATAATAGATGCTCTTTGTGAAGGGGGAACGCAGCGAAGAAACTTTCTCAACATCACGAACAAAACCATACAAGAGGTCATTCAGCGTGAGGCATATCGCCGTGCAACTACCTCTACAGGACCAAGTGAATTTTCCATCCAAACTCTGACCGGATATCTCACAGCTTTTCGCCGCACTCTGCAGTACGAAATACCGCGAATGCATTTCATGCACTCTATACTTGCCATAGTGGCTCACTGGCTTCACATTCAGCTAAAAGGCCCCTTGAGAGCTATCTCGGAAAATGAACATGGCTACACACCGTCCGCATGGGATAACGACGACACTATACCATTACACATTATCTGGCATGAGAGTCGCCACCAAGAGAGAACCAGCAGCCGGAATTACGAAACGAGAAAAGTGGACTCACAGCCGACGTATAAGGCGGCAGATTTTATAAGAGAATGGTTGGATAGCAATTCAAGGGCATCGCCATCTGGTTCTCTTGCTACGAGAAAGTTTGAGGAAATGGTAAAGTACGTATATCCTACTATCAATCATGGCGTGTACGCAAAAGACTAAGCTAGTTACTAACCATCTCAAAAAGGGCATTCCACTGTATAAACCCCCTCGACAAAGAGCAGGAAGAGTTTCACGGTCAACACTGGGCCGAGTGGGTACTCGCCGATGAAGAAGCGGTGCAGAAGTCTGCAGATGAGGTTCTAAACCGAGAAGGCACGACGCAATTGTGCCTGCCACCTTCGTTCCGTGAACTCATCGCCAGTCCCTCAGCAGCGGAAACCTCGCCCAACCTAGCAGACGAAGAACCCAACACGCAACCCCAGCAGAAGGAGATTTCTACACCCGACGCCAACAAAGCTGCCCTCGAAGGAATACTCCGGCTTTTGCGCCAGGCTAAAGCGGACGACGATCAGATGAAGACGCCGGAGTTGGTACAGGAAGCTTTTGCTAGGCTGGGGGCGCTTGGAGGGGATCATGTGTTGGCCCCGGAGGATCATCAGGAGATTGTTAAGGCTGCTGAGGAATTCATGGGGAAGGGGGTGGGTAAAGATGGGAAGGGCCGTGTTTACTATGTTCGTGTTGGACAGGCTGCGAAACAGTCTTAGAAGGCAAAGGCGGTAGTAGAGGTGTACAATGACGACGGCTGAAGCGTGCGCGCAGTCAAATGAAGATTACTTCATAAGTCGAGACGTAGTGCCAATCGCTGGTCGTTGTGCAAGGGGGTTCAGGAATTCTAGTTTTGTAGCACACAGTACGCATGGAAAACACATCCCATGACAAGACGCTGAAAAGTGATCGCAGCGAGTTAGTAGACAAATTGAACCCCATTCGTCCAAATTGCTCCTTGCGTCACACTCTTTGCATCACCATGATACCAACGCCCCATACACATCCATATTCAACACCAAGATGGTCTTTCAGTGAAAATGATGATTTGATCGAATCTGGGGTATGGCCCAATCTATATACCCGTGGACCCAACACCTCCCATCTACCTATTCAAACTCAACAACTCCTCAACATACCTCCTCGCATCAATCCCAATCCCCTCGGCCAACCCCTTAGGCCCCCAGCCCGCCGCACTCCCGCCCATCCTCTCATTCCGCGACGTACCCCCGCCCCCCATACCAAGCCCACTCCACATGCCACTCGCAAAGCTACTCGAGCTCTTCGCACTATGCGCCGTCGTATCCCGCGCCCTCCTCACAAGAAACGCTTCACGCAGCTCGTTGGAATTGAACTGGCCGGAGCCATGCCCTGAACCGGCGTTTTCATTCGAAGCATTGTTCTGCGCTGTGTCTTCGTTGCTGACTTGCGAGGGGGGCAGACGCATCCAGACGACCCACCAGCCACGCGAGGTTTTGCACGTGCGTTCTATTTCAGAGAGGTTGCGGCGCGTACCCGCTACCGTGGCGAGGATCTGAGAATGTACGTTCAGGGCTTCGATTCTGCTCCAGCCGAGGGAGCTCGTGCTGTTGCTGCCGAGGCCTTCGGCGAGGAGGGTGCCTGGGTCGGGGATGTTGGGGAGGCTGGAATGCACGGTGTAGGTGCGGGGGTCGTAGACGAGGTCGTAGATGGTTTGTGTGTTGGGGCCGGAGGAGGGGCCGGAGCCGCCGGTTGAGCCTTCTGTTGTGTAGTGGTTTGAGACGGCGTGGAGGCGGGCGGCGACGAGGCTGGGGGAGGTGCTTTTGTCGAGGGAGCGGTGGAGGGGCGAGAAGAAGTTGTGGATGTCGCGGTAGAAGGATGCGACGCCGAGGGAGTGGGTGCGGTGTTCGAAGAGGAAGGTGTAGACGAAGGGACGGTGCTGGGGTGGGTGTTAGTAGGGGGAGGAATCTGTTGATGGTGCGGGGACTTACTACGTAGACAACAGGTCGTAGCCGTGATAGCTTGTTGTCTGTTGTAGGCTCCACCTTCATGTCTCTCTCGTACTGCGGAGTCGAGTCCGAGTCGCCATCTTCTGTTTTCAGTGAAGCTTCTCGTCTGTCAACCTCCACATGTATGGTCCGCAGCGGTATACGGATGTTCCAGTCGCCCTCCCCATTCTCGTCGTCGATGTCTAGGTCCTGCAGATCGCCTTTGAGTCCTACAAGGAAATACCCATCGTTCTCTAGACGGATCTGCTGCTTCATTTTCTCCTCTGCTGGGTCCACATCAGGTGTAGGGTCTATGTAACGCATCGCTGCTGGTGAAGGGGTGCGTTCGCGTTCGCGTTCGCGTGCCGGTGGTGGCGGTGCTGGCGTTGGAGCAGTAGATTCCGAAGATTCGGCACTCTTCTTTCCACCCCATGCTGTCCCATAGCCAAGTGTCATGTACTTCATCCATGTCTCGGTGTCACCCAGAGACGCTAGCATTGGCTTGGACTCAGGTGCAGCAGGATCGGCTTGGGATTTGTTGTTTTGAACGGCGGCGGATGCCTTATCAAGAGAGTTCTCAGCTGCTTTGACGATAGGCGGAGGGATACCCGGTGGTAGGGAGCCATTGCTCGACGGAGGAAAACGCGGTCTTTCTTCTTGTATTGGAGGCGACGGCTCTTCTGGTTCGGGTTCGGGCTTCAGATTTCTCCTTCGCCGTTTCCTGCGATCCGATGTTGGGTTATCTCGTACGCCGTAAGCATACTCGCCGTGAGCGTAGATGGTCTCTACCCAGTGAGACAAGTCTCGTAATGACTTCCTGCTCACAGCTCCCAGGCCGGAAAAGACGACGCCATCTGCGGCATGGACGTTCTTTCCAACTCCTATCCAGGGTTCCAGCTCTGACACTTCGAGTGTCTTCGGGTCTGTGGATGTCTTGGCTTGCTGTAGAGGTGATGCTTCTCCAAAGCGAGACACCATGACATCGACGAGACCTGAGGTTCTGCGTGCGAAGTCTTCCAGGACGTCTCGTTCGCTGCTTCCCCACTCCTCCTCACCAACACCCATACCCAGCTCGCCACCAGCTGCCAGCTTCATGCCCCCGTATATGTCCACCGCAGGACTTCCATGTAGCAGCACGTCCCAGCTGCTCGCAAATCGTGACCAGTACTTGTCGAGTATGCTGCAAAACTTGGCACGGCCGTGCTTCGAGAACATGTTCTCGAGTGTGGACCCATGATGTAGCAGGAAGACGGACTGGGCGCGCACGAGTTGCTGGATCAGGAGCGCAGGCGGGCTGACTTCGCGTGACGAGTATTCGATTATGGGCTCGGTGGTATCGGTGCTCGAGTCGGTTCGTGTGAGGCCACCGGTCGGTGGGAGTTGGGTAAGATCAATGGACTGTGATGGTGTTAGTTGTAGTCATGTTGAGCACGTGGGCATACATACTGCCAATATCCACCACCCATTCTCCAGTTCACGCAGAACAATGCGCGACTTTTGTGTTTCCACAGAGTCGACGGCTTCGCCATTTGAGAAACTCCTGCACGGTATTAGCCATATACACGAAAGTACTCGCCTGCATGCGTCCTACTTCGCAAAGCCTACCATGCCCTGAGCTAGCCCGACCTGGCGAAGCTTCTCATTCTCCTGCTCGCGCAACTCTTCCTCCCTCTCTGTATCGCCATCCTTCAGCCTGGAGCGCGTCTTGGCGGCCTTTGAGTAGTAGAAGACAATCTGCTGGTGGAAAGTCTCGTCTGATGTTCCGAGCGAGGGATTGTATATAGCTAGAAAGGAGAGCTGCGCCGGGACGACCTTGGTAACCGCCGTGGAAGACATGTGTGCATTCTGCGAAGGGCCTGGTCGCGCGGCGCTTCTGGTGGATTTGGGTGATGGAAGACTACGTCACGCGTGCGGAGGAGACGCGGAGGACAAGACAGGCAGCGAACGTGCCAACGCGCAACCCCAACAACGAGCGGTCGTCGTGGCCTATTTGTATTCCATAGTCAGGCACTGCAGTCCATCGCGATGCGGCGGCCGGGCGGCAGGGATCCCTCCGATTGTCGTGTTCGAGATGCCCCACGGGATCACGATCGCAACGTCCAGACCCTGCGGCGCGGCTTTTGTCGCCGAGCTTCCTCACCTCTGAGCCATGATCTGGAGGCTGCGCAGCCCCGTCCGCTCCTTGATCGCCACTCCTCCCTGCCGATGCAGCTCGACGTCTGCTCCCGCTCGGACGTCGGAGCCACTGCGGATTCTCTTCTGTGGCTCTGACGCCTTCAGCATCGCGTCACTGCGTGCCGTAGCAGACGCGAAGCGGCATGTGCCCGGCCTCATTGAGAGCATTGATGTCATCCACCGCCCACCGAAGCCTACCGGACGGGGACTGAAGACGTTGAGAGAGGGTAGGAACGTTTGTTAGCTATAACAAAACATCAATTGACACGTTACAGTACCCATCAAGCAGGTAGCCACCGAAGAGCTTAACCTGCCCACCCATGTGATCGATACCTTCACCGGCTGGACTCCACCGAACCCCATACATGTCGTCATCGCCGTATCCTTCGGCCTCCTCGTCCCACCGCGAATCCTCAACTATGCGCAATACGGCGGTCTCAACGTGCATCCCTCGCTGCTCCCCGATCTGCGTGGCCCAGCACCCGTCTCACATGCCATACTGAAGCGGCGGCAGTACACCGGTGTCTCTGTGCAAACACTGCATCCAAGGCATTTCGACCAGGGTACTATCCTTGCCCAAACCCCCATGCCTGGCTTCGAGATTGCCATTCCTTCCGAACCGAGTCCTGAGACGGCTCAGATATTGGAGCAACGGCTTGCCGCGGCTGGAGCAGAAATGCTCGTAGACGTCTTGAAGAAACGGAGATTCGTACCTCCGCATGAGGATGTTGGATGGTATGCGCACTCCGACGGTCCTATCGACCACGCACCGAAAGTCACCAAGCAAGATCGCTATGTCGACTTCAGAAAACATACCCTGGCAGACGTCATTGCCAAACGCAACGCACTTGGCGACTTGTGGTGTCTACTACCCACCGGTGATCGTCTCATAATCCACGACATCATACCTCATAATCTGGACGAATCCCAATTTTCCACGACAGAACCTGGTCTCTTTATAGATTCGCAGACCAAGAACGTACTCCTGTTCAAAGGAGCATGTGGTGGCGTGGGACAAATTCTAGAGAGTACGTTCCAGGGGCACAAGAAAGGTCAAGGAAACGCGAAGTTGCTGTCGCTGTTCGGTCCTTCAGCGAATACAATTGTGGGAACTGATGCGCTTACGAGTACCTTATACAGAGTTATCTGACAGCTCGCTCTTCGACTTGTTTCAGGTAGACGTTGTCTGTCATCGTTCCTCGATACATGCTGTGGCACAAGAATTCGTCGAGCAGAGGCAAGATGTCTTCGACCCGCAATTGATGGGAAACACAGATCAAAGAAGCGCCGAAAGGCAATGGCTAAGTTTGTATTGTCTAAGGAAGCTGCCTTTCTCTCTACTAAGAGGCTATCGTAGCTTTCATGCAGCCATCTTGAGCCATGCGGCCCGATGCTACACCACAATGCCGATATGGCAGGCCGTTCAGGTTAACGACTTCGGCTGTGCTCCTCCCAATCTTCTTTGTCAGCCTGGAAGTCTTCAATCCCCTTTTTCACTCTCGCGCTTTTCGATACTGTCTCTACCTGATTCAGTACTGATGTGAAGCCTGCCGAGTGCGAAATGTCATAGAACAGCTGTCGCATTCTTCCTGTGCTACTTTCGACTGCCTCGTTCAGCGCCCCTAACAACGTCAAGAAACGTCTGTCTTCATCCGCCTGACTCGCTTTCGTGTCGTTGACGAAGCGAGAGAACTCATGCGTCCAGCGAGTTATCTCGTTCTTCAGCTCCTGCGTCTCCTGCTTACCGTCTACCGTCGATCGAAAGATGTGTGGTATACAGGCCTGCAGCTCCTGACTAGTGGGCGCCACACTCGTGAGGAAAGAAGGCTTCGAAACCTTCTTCGGCTGTGCGTGTCGCTGTTTGAAGGCTTTGAACTCTTTTGCTCCGAAAGCACGGCGTTCGCTGTTGAGCTGGATGGTGGCAATTGATAGATTACCATGGCCAGTCGGATATTCACGACGGAGTGCGCTCTCAGCCGTAGTTTGGCCTTTCCAAAGCGTTGCACCTCCAACCTCCTGTGTCGAGGCTTCTCCGGAGGGATCACGAGCATACGCTATTGCCCTCGATGTTCTATATGGCAAAGCAGACATCGCATGTATGCTCACTGAAGGCAACCTCCTTTCGTGTATCTCCGTTGGGCCAGATGATTCGCCAACTATCGATCCGATCAGTGAACTCGCAGTAACATTGGGCTCGTTGTAAGCCAATCCTGTACTTGGTATCGCTTCCATCTGGACTTCTTCTGGCTTTGGGCTTGGTTTGATAAGTACGGCGTGTATCTCTTGCACCATCGCTCGGAACCCAGCATCTACAGCTGGGTTGCGCAACACCTCACTCAGCAAAGAATGTGTCTTTTCGTGGTTCTTCTTGCTACTTTCGCTAGCAGAAGTAACAGTCTCCCTGCATGTATTAGTCTATATTTACTCCGGACTTGAGCTACGAAGCTTACCAGACCACTGAAGTTAAGATGAGGTTTATCGCATCGGTATGCGACTTAAGCTTCTCTCGGTATTGTTGCAGCCACTGCTTCTCGCGGTCCCATCGTACCCTCTGCCAGTTAACGCGAATACTCTTCTTGACGTCTTCCAGCGTGCGCAAGCTAGTCTTCTCTTTGCCTGCCTCCATTTCGACCAGACGATACTTCTTCGTCACAGTATCTAGCTCCTGTAACGTTGAAGCGCAAGAGCTGATCATCATACCAAGCTTCTCCATGAGCTCGTCGCCATCTGGGAGCCCTGGTCTTGTAAGCACGTCATGGGACACCTCTTTGAGGTGATCCAGAGCACATCTCAGACTAAAGAGCACCTCCTCAAGCTCTCTCAAGTCGCGCGACGCTGCTTGCCTTCCAGAGCTGACGGTCGAGTATAGGTCGTACGCTAACTGGCTAACGAGAACTAGATACTATCAGTACGTTTGCGATAAACCACGGGTACGTGCACATACTTATATCTCCTATGGAGAAACCAAAAGACATCTTTGTTGGTCCTCGTCACGATGTGAGGATGGCAGAAACGTTAGCCCAGCTGAATGCGATGAATGCGGGCGCACGCGTGCGGCTGAGATCACCCCACCTCAAAATGCATAAATGTCTCCGTCGAGCTGACTTGCAGCCAATTTAATGATCGCCCCCTCTTCTTCTTTTATTATTATCAAAAAAATCAACCGCTCTACCTACAAAATCTTGCCGCTTTCGATGAGCACCATAGCGCTCCCAGTCGTCCCCACGGACTCCCGTACAATCGAGATTGAGGGCCTAGAGAACGTACAGAATGCCGTCCGAAGAAATACAGAAGATCAATCCCGAATATCGACGTTCTCCACTGTCATGCACGAAGACGAGCTGGTTTCTGAGCTATTGAAACGAATCAAAGGTTACCCATGTAGATCCCTAAGCCAAGTACTGCATTAACGTTGGATAGACTGCGGCTTCCGCAAGCCCGACAGCCTCTTCGATGCATGCAATGACATTATCCAATATGCTGACAAACAGGTGGTGATTGATCATGACGAAGTCGTCGTGGTTGGGGCCGACCAAACGTCGACCAAGCACACGATTAGGATCACGGAATCGCTCATTTCGCATGCGAACACTTATTACGGCAAACCGATTGATTTCAACATCAATTCCTCAACCTCGTCACAGCGGATTATTGACAGCAACTGTGGGTTTCACGTATCTTTCGAGCGAACGCCCAGGATGCCAGACGATGATAAGCTCCACCAGTTGCCGGGCTCGCTGGGAAGTTACGATCTCTTCAGTGTGGAGGCATATGCCGACTATCTACCGTCCAGAATCAGAAAAGCTGGCGGCGTGTTCCTTCCAATGTGGCAAAGAGAGGCCATGTGGCTCAACTTTCCAGAAGAATGTGACGAATGTGCGGTACGAGTCTTCGTTGGCCATGTCAATGCCGTCTCTGGTTTCACAATGGAAGAGATGGGAGAGAGAGAAGATGACGAAAGGGACCAAGATTACATCGTTGTTCCTGACCAGAAGTGGCTGGACGGTATCTGTGTATCCCCTGGTATCGTTCGGCAATTTGTCGCCATGCCACGTATGTCTGCCAACCACTCTTTTTAGCAACCAGTCAGACACAGCTTCCACTGACTCAATTTAGTTGGCTCCGGCTATACTGTAGAAGGACAAAAGACTTCAGAGGAGAAGCATGGAGGACTGCAGCTTGAAGTCACACCCAGGCTCTTTCACAGACAGCGCTTATGGTCGCGCTGCGGTGATCACTATATTTGCATCGAAGGAGGTTGTTTCGAAACCTTTTACCTTTTGAACGAGCAGGAAACGCCTCAACAGCTTGGTTGCAGAGTCGGTGAAGTCTTGAGGTCATACAGCGCAGATCCTGACCGTCGGGAGTCCTTCAAAATCAAACATCTGGTAGGATCAGAGACGACTATCAAACTCACAGCTTTTCAAGCACCCGCCATGTATCAAGCACCCACCATGTACCAAGCACCCGACATGATGCAAACACTCGACCACTTCGGCACGGCCGGATCGGCACACGACCGAGTGCTGTCGGGACATTCACACGGGTCAACAGATCCTTCATATGAGTATGACTCCCCTAGTCACGCGTCATTCCCAGAAATGGGTTATGGCGGCATCTCACCGGACGGGGTCTCTCTGGAAGGTAGCCTGTGCGAAGACACATCTGCAATGGAACTCGAAGAACCTGAGACCATGAATCTCAAGGACATCAAGGCCATGGGGATAGCCGCAGGTGGGAAGCTCAGTTAGTCTCGTCACTTCTCAATGCCGCCCTTGTTGACCTATGATGCAGTTCAAGACATATACAAAGACCCGTATCCAGCCAAGATATGGAACCACGCCGCAGCCCGCATCCTCCATGTGCATATACTCGACCCAACAAGCTGCGAGAAAATAACGCACATTGTTCCAACTCCGCCTTCCACCGATGTCAAGGCTTACACAGAGGCTGGTGGCCAGTACTTCGTCGTCGAGGAAAAGGTGGATGAGCGCCTCGACGGAGGCGATTTTGACAACGTGAAGAGTGTCAGCCAAATGGACCAACACATCGGCATAAGCACGGAACCAGAATTCGACCCGACGAAGCCGAAGATGTGTACGACATGCGAATTGCGACTGTGCGATTGCATGTGGGTCACTCTCTTCTAGTCCCCATTCTCAATTCACCCTCTTTTCACTCACTATGCTCTGTTTACTAACAAATTCTTAGTATACGCCCCTGCGACCACCAATTCTGCAACATCTGCATCAAGCGCATCGAGCAAAACAGCGACGAAGATGTGGACTCGGCGCGCAGAAACCGGAAGTGCCCGACTTGCCACAGTGCTGTTTCGCACGTAGCAGGTTTCTCCGCACCGATGAATCTGCCAGGCGAAGAGCCGTTGCGCGTCAAGGTACCAGTCAATGTGCTGAAGATCGAAGATGGTAGGGTGAGATTCGAGAGTGTGCAGAGGAGTAGGGTTTAATCTATAGCTGTCGATCGCATAACAAGGTGGCTCATCTTGGTAGTGATTGAGTAACTTTCTTCTGGGAGCAAAAATACAGTAACGTCATTGAAAGCATTCTTCTGCGGAACTGTGATGTGTCGCAGTCTTAGAGCAATTACATACAGCATCGCCATGGTGTGGTGCAAAAGGATGCTCATGGGGCAAAAAGATAATCCTCCTCCGGGAAGGCTCGAACTTCCAACCTCCTGATAACTAGCTACTGTTGTAACAGTCAGACGCGCTAGCCAATTGCGCCACAGAGGATCTGTTGATGGAATGCTGGTCAATTATAAACAATATAACTACACGCAAAATTCGATGATGACGAGCGCGGGTAGCCTCTCTCGATGTTCGCGGTCAGCATGGGGTTGCAGTATGTGCGTGGAGCGTAAGTGGGGTAGCTGTAATCACTTCTGAAACCTCCGCCGTCGCATCACCGAACATATCGTGAAAGCGCTATCAACGAAGCAGAGCTTCACGATGACAAGAGCGACAAAAAGGGCGCACATTGTTCAAGGTCTGATGATACGCAATAGTTTTAGACAACTACAAGAAACGGTTTCGCGAAGCGTCTATGTTCTAAGTCCCTGTTCATATTCATGCAAAGCAGTCTAGCAGTCTATTCCTCATTCGCGTGAAGCGTTACAGTGAAAGCAAAAAGGAACGCTGAAACATCATCTCAGCGGTCGCATCTGAATATCTGCGTCCTCATCCTCTCTTCGTTCGGCATCAAAGACTGGCGACATCAAGCCCCTTTCTTCTTCGCTATCCCCTCTCCCTGTTGGCTCAGCTATCTTCTTCGGCTGCTCCTTGTTCATTGCGACGTATATGGCCGAACCCAGGATGAGCGACGACCCAACAATGGATAAGGCACTCGGCGTTGTACCCCAGATCAATTTGTCGAAACCAAGCGCGAAAAACATCTGCATGTAGAGCATGTTCGTTGCGCGAGAAGACTTCTCGTATTGTAGGCCGGCGGCTAGGAGGAATTGCTGCATCACGTTAATAGACGCGCGACGCGAGATGGTAGACCAAACTTACCATGACGAACCCACAGATACCCAAAAAGAGTAGGTAGGACCAATCTTTCACACCTTTGGGAAGTAGAAAGCCGACGCCTGGCATAACGGCCATTGCCACCACACTAACAATCGTGCACCATGTTGCGAAGTAGGTGACGGATATGAGTGGATGCGCGCGCTTGCCGATCCATCGAATGGTGGTGTATGCTCCTGTTGATCCTATCACACCCAACATCGCGACTCCTACTGCTGCTGCTCGTTGCGTGGGTGTCACATCATCGTAGTCCGCAGCGAGACGATTGGGCGAAGCTGCAGTAGTGTTTGTCGGAATTGTATCCAAGCCCCCGGAGGCAGGAGGAACCGTGTCGCTAGAATGCGATAGCGCAGAGAATAAGGAGACAGGTCTTGCGATCAAGACCACACCGAATAGCGAGATGTATGCAGCTATCTGTTCCATCCTGGTGAACGGTTCGTTGATGAAGTAGGAGCACGCCCAGCAAGCGAGCGATGGCGAGAGGAATGTGATGACGGTGGCATCGGCCAGAGGCAGATACATCAGAGAATCTATAAGAGTCAGCACCGTGTCGAGTAGGTAGGACCCATATGATGTACTGTGGAGTTCATCACAGCGATGCAGTAGCAATAACCTTCAGACGTGATCCAATATCAGACGAGCTGAGACAAGTTACTGCAAACGCATGGTCCTAAGAAGGGGGGTAAGTGACTTACAGTACATGCCAAAGACTCCGAAGAAGCCAAACAATCCTCGAGCTACCAGCAACGAGCGCACTTCCTTCATACCGAATGGGAAGTGTTCTATCTTGCGATACCACATGTAGAATAAAGCACATGCCGTGGTGATACTCATCCTTGCGAACAAGATCTGAAATGGGTGATAGCCATTACCTAAAATCTGGATCAGCACAAGCGTATAATGTTACACAAGCATCTACCTACCGCTGTTTCCCTCCATTTCCAATATCCTCGTCGTAACGTTCATCAAGTTTCCAAAGAACTGAGCGAGCAAAACGTACGCTAATCCCTTGTTCGCCGTCCAAAACAAGTCGATCTTCTCTTTGAGAGTCCGCGGAGGGGCGGATGAGCGTAAAGCATATTCTTCATGGTATACAGGAGCAAAGTCTGGATTCCGACCAAGTCGTACAACATTCGCATCGTCTATCGATATGAGTGACGGATTCGGAGAAGGTACACGGATTGCCCCGCGATGAACGCTTAGCGCCTCATCGGTTTTATCGCCGGGTTTAAGTGAGGATTCAGCCTCGATTTCGTACTCGCTGAGACGCTGCGCGGGTTTATCATCGTCTTGAGGGAACGCGGGAAAGAGCGGCTGGACCATTGTGCTTCATGAGAGGTTCATGGAGGTTTGTGAGTCGGTGACGATGACATGAAGATACGATGGAAAGCGCTCGAAAGCCCAGCCATAGGCGGCGCCACTCGTCAATGAGGAAGGCGCAACCATCTCGACGAGTCACAGGCACGCGACACTGCCCCGGATCCACACATTCGCCCCTCTTTCGCGTCGCTTCTCCCCAGACCCCGCTGGTTCATGGAAAAGTATCCATCTTGAACGCAACCACGCCGTACACGGAGCTTGAGAGACTTCCGTGAATTGTGTTGGGACTTCGGATGTGGTTTTCTCATGATGACGTTGGCACTCCACCTGCATTGGTTCACGGTAGTACCTCGGTTCCATCTTCAACGATCGTTCGATAAGTACCTAGTCCGGGAAAATGACCGGAATCACAAAGTCGGTCTTCACGTAGGATGGGGTTATCCGGGCCTTTTCCAGCCCACATCTATGCGCGACCCAGACTCTGCCTCAGACAACCACGAACATCGGTTACAGGCAAGTTTGGTGGCAGCCACCCTCGGGAACGCGGAGAACGAGCTCAATGTTGACCTGATCGCCATCTAGTCACATTGATCCACTTGATGAAGGAACCATCAGCCCACCGTTGTCATGCATGGGTCGTCGAGACAAAGTTAGAGGCGTTCACATCGGCGCGTCGCGCCCACCGAAGGTTTACCACACCGATGAACGGCAGCAGACGTCAAATGTCGTACAGGACTAGCCATGCTTGCGCGCGTGGGTGTGTGGCTCAAACAAACTTCGAATACGAAGTTCAACGGGCGAACGGGTCGCAGCCACAAGATGGCGGCCTGAGGACGTTGCCGCAAGTCTGGTGATAGGCTACCATGAGGGACGTTGGAGTGTTGCAGTGTGTTTCTCGGATCAAGGCGTCCCACACTATCTTCCATTGAGGTGTGACAACATATCACAACACCAAACCGGTGAATCCAGGCAGGGCTCCATCTTCGAGAGAATTTGTCAATATTCAATACTTCACAGCACACCACTACCGGCATCAGTAGCGCTAGTCCGCGGCCCACGAACGCGAATTGCGGCATCTCCCAGCCCGCGAAACGGCGTCCACTGCTCTAGTGCACAACATCACCGTCTGCCATCCATGGATATCGCTTGACCATCACCAACGCTACCACTCGTCACACATTGGAATTGATGCAAGCGAAGCGCTCACCCCGGCCTGTCAGTCACACGTCCGCATACGGGGATCGCGCCAGGCTACCAAAACTGGGATACCCATTGTGTTACAGATAGATGAGAACCACAGCACCACGGCTGTCAGCGATAATCTCTGAACTTACTTTACGACCTTCGGGAAAGAAGTGTGCACCATCCTTGCGTCATGTGTGGACCCATAACAGCACCAGTAAGCTGGAACGAAAAAGGAAAATGAGTGGTGGAGCGTTTCATAACGACCACCATGACTCGCAGCTATGTATGGATACTATGGGGCGGATAAGGCTGGAACACACGGCAGCACGCGCTACACTCGACGTGATATTGGTGTGATGAATGTCTTTCTCATTGTAGCGCTCATTCCCAGCGACCAATCGCTAACGGTTCCCAGGAAAGGGAACGTAATTTTCCAACACAGTGGATCTGCCTAGGTACCTCCAGGGGTCGGAAAGACTCTCTTCGCAAGACGGTGTCCGCGGCAGACAGCCTCAAACCCCCGACCTGCAAAGGGCATTCCTTTTACAAACCCTAAATGCGCATCCGAGACGAACTGCTCGCATTCGCATCTTTCTTTAATTAGTGATGCACCATTAGCCGTAGTGTGCTGTGTTGGTTTAGCGATATTCCTTTCCTCCCTTACAAACCTTGGAATGAGGCATCGGCGCGAGATTTCTCTTGCACCAAGTAGACAATCCCCAGGCGAAAACCACAGTTCACGGTGCATTACCGACGTTTCAGGCTTGCCACGAGGAGACGCAGCGTACGCACAGATCGACTGCAAATCTCCCGCTCCAAGGCGCCCCGCGGGAGCGCGCGTTAACGAAAGCCCGTCGGCTAAAAGGGATTGGATTCTCCAACCCAACGTGACCTAAGCGCGCTGTATCACCAACAACTCTTTTGCATGATAGCCTTGACAACATGAAGGCAATTGCGAATACTGCCTATTTCAAAATGGCAAGAAACAAAAATTTGCTGTTGTCATATACGCAAGGGACCTTGATATTCTGCTTCGGACAGCTGTACCGACCGCTTTGCCTGCCCACTCAACGTTACGATTAAGTTTGAGGCCGCCGTTAAGACAAGCTAGGGCATATAAGATCGAGACTATGATGGCGCGCCTCGAGCGGAACAGACGATATCCGGTCACTGGTGTGCTTTTACCGTCTCTTTTCCCCCCTCCCCACATCACGAAGGACGGCACCGCAAACCGCTTCGGAGATGGCGACATTAGCGCGCTCAAGGAAGACCCATGATGTGAAAAGCCGCAAGAACCAAGGGTGATGGAAATACAAATCCTGGCTCCTGGTCGACGTTCTATGTGGATCGGCGTGGGGTACTGGATGATACATTTTCGGGTAAGGGAAGCTAGGCGGGAAGTATTAGCAGCGAAGGTGATATAGGATAGGGTGAGGCGGGGCGGAAGCGGCATGAAAGCGAACTATCGAGTAGTTAGCCAAGAGGGATAGCTGCAAGCGAAATTCTTTTCGCTTTTAGCTGGGAATGACTGTACTGAGGGTATCATAGGACGATCAGTATTTCTTCGCCCTCATGACTATTTGCAAAGTTTATGCTGTGGGACTTGGTGGCTGGGAAGCCAAGACGTTGATGGCGAGATGAGGTGCAGCTGTGTTATACCACGCGACTCGTATTGCGACTACCGTTGCGCTGGGAAGCAAGGCCGTTGTTCCCTGGCGCCTAAGCTGGATTGGACGGCTCATTGCATGGTATGGGTATTATGAGAACACCGCGTTCGCGTTGATGGAAGAGAATGCGAGTGCAGTGCAGTGTGCATTGAGATTTGATCATGCTGTCTCGCCAAACGATACCGAAAGAAGACTGACAGCGCATATGTCGTGAGAGCCAACATCAACGTCGAGAAACCGCATGCAGTGCGATAACGGAGAATAAATGCAGTGCAACGAATATAGTCAACCTCCACAAAAGGCCACCCACCACATCCCTCCACTCTTCGCTTGCTTTGTCCCAATAGCGAATCTTGACAGCTAGTACGCACCACCTAAAGTCCCACAGACTGTTAAGATGCCCATGCCTGTAGTGCCCCATCCATCCCATCCTTCGCGTTGCTCGACACATGTCGTGCAGATACCGGTAAACCTTCCTTTCAATCCCAATGCAGATCCACCTCCACCACCACCTCATCCTGCTTCGCAGTCGCCTACGCTGGCCCCCTTCCTAGCATCGCCCTAACGCCTGACGCCGCATACTCATGCGCGACGTCTGGCGCGCCCGGCAGGCTGGGAGCGGCATACCTGCTCTGGCCGCGCAGTTGACGCCCGAAGCTCTCGTCGTCATACACGACCGAGTCGTTGGTGGCGGCAATGTGCCTTTGGTAGAGTTGCTGGGATGCTGCGTCTTGTGATGCGTTGCCTACACCGCTGAGTGTGAGGCGCTGCTCTGTGCTGCCTGATCCGAAGGACTTTTTCAGTGCGGGCACAGACAGGTAGGATGCTGTGCCGTTTTGCCAGTTGTCCACGTCTGACCCTAGGAAGGTTTGGTTGCTGTAGGGCGTCGATTGTAGACGCGTGTAGTCGAATGTCTTCCAGTCGTTTGAGAAGGCTAGGTCGCCGCGTTGATGCACGTTTTTGCTTCGCGACATGCTTGCGTTGATGCTGACGTTGCCGCCTGAGGGTGCGTTGTAGGACGATTGCACCCATAGAGGGTATTCGAAGCTTTTGGAATAATCTGTGGATGCTGTATGTGTGCCTGTTGTCGACTGACGTACGATCTGGTCGTTACCGCCGTTGCTGAGAGTTCCAACGTTGGAGTAGGTGAGCTTCTGGGTCCAGGTAACTGCTTTTGAACCCGCGGGCGTGTCGAACGTGGATTGGATTTCTAGATTGCGAGTGACTTGAATAGAGTAGTCCAGGACGGTGCCTACACTGCTGTTCGAGTATCCGCGTTTTGACGAGTGTAGTACGATACTGGAACTCGTAACAGTGGTAGGCGCGGGTCCTGTGATAGCGTTGTTGCCAGCGTCAAGCCAAACGAAGATCTTCCCAGTAACGACCCAATTCGATTCGATGGCTGTCGTAAAGTTCCCGTTCCCACGACCATCATCATCGACGCCGACAACCTGAATCTCGAAGCTATGGGGTTGGCCGTCGCTGAGCAGTGGTATGAACGGAGTGATGTCGATTTCGTCTTCTCGCAGATCAAATGCATCGATGCCTACTATGGGCCTCCAAAAGCCAGGAACAACACCACCGGTGAAGATGACGGGAAAGGGCCAGGCGACTCCAGCCAATGATCCGTCGATGAGAAGACGAAGTTCTCGGAAGGCCGAGTGACCGTATAGCGTAGTGTCGTTGCCGAATGCGTTGGTGTCTGATGACAAGACATTGCTCCACCAGAACTCCTCGGCAGCCTGGCCACATGCGGAGATGGAGAAGGCCGCCTTCTTTGCGTTCTGCGGAAGCACAACGCTGTTGACTGCTCTTGTCTCCGGTACGACGAATACGCTGGATGCATCTTGACCCGACTTCCGTGCCGAGATTGGGATGATAACATCTGCGGGCTCGATAGCATCGTCGGCAGTAAAGAAGGTGGCGGTCAGCGTGGTATACCAGGAGCCCGTGTATGTATCGTCGACGATATTACCGAGGTCGAAGATTATCTTTTGTGGCGTATTGAAAAGAGATTGGTAGCTGCTCATGTCCTTGACATATGTCCATATTATGCCGGCTTGTGTTGGCTCGGCAGTGGAAGTCCGGAACACTTCGGTATCATCAAGGAACATCACACCGAGTCGGTCAAACTGCCGGCCGGCAGAGGTA